TGTCTTTGAGGGAGGTGGTTAGTTTTATCTGTGTTCTTTACTTTCATTCAACGTCTGTGGATTAACTTGTACTTATTATTATTCAGTAACCGCTTTGTTCCTAATAACCTTTGAGCATACAGTATAACGTATTGATGTTCCGCTGTATTTTTGAGTATGCATATAAACTAGGAATGTCTACTTTGTTTGTTACTGTGACTAGACACTTTGATGTTAACAGAGAAGCAAAGAAACCATAACAAACAATTTAAGTTGGTTTTGGGGGCGTTATTCCACCTTATTCAGAGTTTGTAAAATACTAACATTTAGTTTTGTCCTCATGTAATTCTATAAACCATAAGCTTTTGTTTGATGCAAGATTTACTGCCTACCCTCTTCTCTCCTAAGCAATTGTAGATTTTTTGTAATTTGTACTCTTTTTTGCCCAGATACCCGGTTCGGACACAAATGTAATTTTTCCGTTGTTTGTGAATTGTGGCTTGCGTTGTGTTGGCCATTTGTCTATTCATGTATCTTTTCACGCTAACTTGAAGTGAGAAGAGAGTGGGGAATAAATCGAGTTGAGTCGCAATTAGCTTGTCTTTTTAGTCGCTTGTCAACCAACCAATTGATAGAATAGTTTATGTCTCTCTGCCAAGGTTGTTAGTCTCAAATCGGACTAGCGCATTTCTAGCTTCAAGGTTGAGCCAGTAAGCCTATCGTGTCAAAGCCTGAACTTAAATCCAGACAAGTTCTCTCCTGTATATTATTGTGTAGGTGTTTCTATAACTTAAGAGTTCCGTATCATAACTCATTCCAGTCCAGTCTAATCCAGACTAGATGGTTAAATATAGTGTTGCGAAATAGTAACTTCTTCGCAAAAGAATGTTGCTTGACCGTTTTGTGTACGCTATGAGATTCCAGAGTGGTATGGACGTCATATCAGAGAAGTCTCTAAACGATTGGCAAGAATGTAAAGTTGGCCCGAATGGAATCGAGCTTCTGGATCTCATACTTTAGATTTATTAGGACCTGCCATGAGTCCGAACACGTCAATATAAAAAAAATAGAGTATGTAACTGCAAACAGTTCACAAAGTGAAACTGGCACTAAGCACTCGAGACTGATGATCACCACGTTAGGTTTACGAGATAGAATATGTTCCAGTGGATCTGGTTCGCATGAATCTCAATGTCACACTCACTTCCCCAATTTGTGTCTCCGTTCTAGACATGTGTTTAGCAATTTGATGTCCTAGCATTAAAAGTCAACCTCGAGTATCACATCTCAAGTCAATATAGGAAAAAACCAAGAATTCATGTTGAGTTGAATGTGTTCACCGTTAAGCCTAAATATACCTTAGAACATGCTTCCAACATGGCGACGCTCCCTGTTCTTGGTGCTGAATACACTGTTCGCCGGATCACATGGTTTAGGATATGTAAAGATTCCTCCTTCATAATTGATACTGAAGTCCCTGTGTCAAGCAATAGAGTGGTTCCGACTCCCTAAAAACTGCCTCTTATTGTGATAGGATACACAGATTTTGCATAGTATGGTTCCAGAACTGGTTGTGCTCGCATTTTCGGGCTTTCCAGCCGAACTGTCGGCAATAGAGGCATTCCGTTTTTTGACCCTTAAAACTCCTTCGAAAAGATCGTTTAGCTGGCGCGAGGATCAGTATCCTACGTCTCATACTTTGGTTTGGCAAATGTCTGACTACTGAGACACCGTGGGAGCTGTCCGACTGATCCGATCTCACAGCTTCCTCGATTGACATTACTACTAGCCAGTGTGTACATAAAGAACTTGATAACATTTTGGCTGCTGTAAACCGGAGTGCAGTTGTTTTTAGGTCTAGCGTACTAACTAGTGGAGTTCGACAGTGCTGTCAGAGCGCACCCGGTAAGGTCTCTTCGACGAACCACGAGCGTACTAGCTCTTCTTATTCACTGATGTCCATGTGGAGGAGTGTGAACAGCCATCTTCGGTAATGTGTAAAAGTACTCCAAGGGTACTCGTCAGACTGCTGAGTCTGAATAGTACTCTGTTGAGTATCCAGTTGCACAGGAAAGAATCTCCCAGAATCTCGTAACTATGGGATGGTGGGTCGTCTGCCGCGAATCCTCTAGCTGTTGAACACCAGGCTGTTTATTTAAGCACGATAACAGATTATCGCAATTTTTTGTTTGTATCGGGCACAACTACAACGTTATGCCCGATTTCCAGATAGAGCAGTCTGATGTGGTTCCGGACAATTACGATTTACGAAGCGTCATGGCAGGCGTTGTTACCCTGACCGGTAACACCGGTGGTTAGTCCTACTTTTTGTCATGAGTTACTGCTGACACCATCATCACCACTTGTAACGCGTGCCATCGGGGTTCATTTGGAAGCAGATGAAACTAAACCAACAACACTCAAACCGGGATCAGTGAATGTATGAAGAGGAAGAACACAACTTGTTAGCAACAACGCATATATATTTCAAAATTCAAATAACACGGTTCTGTTACAGTAAAGAAAGCTCATCTACAAAATAGCTTCATATACCATTTTGTAAGTCCGGTCTATGCTGAGCTTTTTCTCCTACTTCTAGCACATTTACCCTCTGTTGTACAATTATTTTTCAGGAATATCACATAAATACCAGAAACGAAAGCAGACGTGCAGCTAATGACAACTAAACAGGCATGGAGTCTAGGCCTCGAATTCGTTTTAAGACGATTGTGATGAATGTCACGATAACTAATAATTTCAAGCAACTGGGTTGATTTAAGTGGATTCAGACTACATACCAGTCTCTGTCAAATCATTTAAAGCTCGTATTTTCCTCAAAACTCTAAGCTCTTGCTGAAGCGAAGTATTCATTTGTTGGATAGGAACTTTTATTTAATTATAATGATAATTTATTCTCAAATAACAGTCTGTTACATAAGGTATGACAGTTCACAGGCAAGATCAAATTGTTACAGAAGATACAGTCTTCACTGTAGCAGGTAATTCAGTTAGGTTGATATATATATATATATATATATATATATATATATATATATATATATATATATATATAATGTAGTTACGAAACTTTACCAACGTGTTATACTTCAGATACTGTTGAGCTGCGCTTCAAACAGGATGACCTTTCGCCCACATGTCTTTGAATATATGAAGAGTTTATCTAACCCCAGTAATGTATCTTATTTGAAAACTACTTATAACAACTTATTTATGACAGAGATGGTTAACTAGTAGTATCACTTATCTACAACATGAGTCCATTCACTTAGACAAATGAAATGCAACCACTAGTTTGAGATAATCTCTTCGCTTGAAGTCCTTCTGTAATAAATACATCTTCTACCCAGCCAACGTGATATTAAGTAAACCTGTAGCAAGATTGTTCCATGGGCTTAACAATGGACTTCAGATATCTAAGGCTGTTGTATTTAGGTAAGTTTCATCTAGATAATTACGTACGTATCAGTGTATTAATTTCGTGATCAAACATTTGTCTAATTTGACCACCTTACCAAGACTTATATATGCACAAATGATTCATTAAATGTTGAATGAAAATAAATTTTAGCAGATGATGATTCGCTTAGCCGTTTTTTCAGAGACGAGTGTACACAAGGTCTGTGTACAGTTCAATACTATTAAAATACGGCTTGAATTACTATTCCATTTTGCAGTGATCATAATTTCAGTTTTCTTGGCCTAATGAGAGTCTTAGGCTAACAATGAAGGTATAGGTTATAAGTGCACTATCAGGTATCTGTTTCGACGAAAAATAGATGTAATTTATTCCTCCGGTTTAAGGAATGTAATAAAATTGTTTCCAGTGTGTCATTTGTTTCATGGTCTGTATTCGAATCAACTTTTGACTGTCTAAGGTTTATAAGCGTGTCATTTATGGAAGCCTATAGCTTATTGTAACTGTAGAATAAGGTCATATAAGCTGGAAAGTATTCGTAAGACATGTATATATAGTAGTGTAGCGGTAAATAAATCCCCAAAATAAATAGCCCTGTAAGTTTTCGACATTAGATGCTGACCATATGTTTTAGTGGACTCATCTAGCTGAAGGCGCTCGGTCAGGCACTCGTACCAGATCACGTGTGGTAACGCCGTGCTCAACATCAACCGCAATCGCTAGCCAGATTGGATCAGAGGATTCCGATATATTGGTCATCGCCAAATATCCTCTTCCGATCTCCTCGACTCTGTCTTTTGATTTCTTTTGGTGGGAACGAAACATATTAGAAGGTGTTACTGGTAGAAGCGTTGTCAAACACTGAATACCTGTGACATCATCAGTAGCTCCTTATGAAGTCATTCAGTCGTGCATATAACTTTAATACTGTTGTTGCTTGTTGTCTGAATGTTAATTGCTGTTCAGAGTCTTCTGTAAATATCCAAAAGAGGCAGTAAATTAACGCACATTAGCCTCGATAAACATAGTGTTTATATTTATAAATCAATCGACCTTTTAAACATCATTTGAAATAAAAGTATGCATCCAAACAACCTCGTAATTTCTCCTCTGAGACCAAATTTTCTCTATTTTGTCTTTCTGGTCAGACTATAATTTATGGGCGACCTTCGAGCGACGCTTTAGTGACCTTCAAATAAGTAAAAGCTGTGATAAGTATATCCAACCAACACTAACCAGTATAGAAACTCAGTAAAAGAAAATGCTCATTTTAAGAATATATTTCACTTACCCAGAAAATATTATATTCTGTCTCACAGACGAGCAATCTACTCCAAAAGAAGAATTTTACGCGGAATGCAAAAATTAATGACCGTTTGTTAACAAGAAACTTTCATGAACATAGGTAACGTGCCTCGGATACAATTATAGAAAGTGATATAATCATATGTGACAATTTGTAGAAGACAGTGTTGGATAAACCGAAGATTTGGTCGATGTTAAAAGTCTTGAAAACACCAAGAAGTCATCTTTTTTCTAAATCTTTAATAACTGAGAAATAGTGAAACATTCTGGACACGCTCAAATGCAAAGAGCAATAGAACAGAGATTACGTGCAAAGGTAGATGAAGAAATATTTTATTGTCATTGAGTCCTAACCACCCAATCCTCAAAGCTGAACACAAAAATACTGATAAAATAGATATTCAACATTTAACGTCAAGAAAAACTCAACAATGGAGAAGGAGGGAACAATGAGTTGACTTAGTTCTAATTGATCGGATGGCATGGCTCAGCAGTGCAGGCGTGGTTTTACATATGTAACATTATTTTTATCCATATTAAATATATCGTTCTACCTCCAGTCTAAATGTGTTTTTCATCATGTACTGATGATTGTTACAACGCGATGTATCAGGGTAGATAATGGTGTGACTTCCACGTAACATCATATAGATTAGGCAGTTACACCATAACACACCTACAATTTTAGGATTAGGTCTATTGTTAGAGCAGTATTAATATCGAAGTAGACCATAATTCTACATTAGTAAGCCGACTAATGAAACACAACCTATTATTGTTAATCCTTATTTCCACTTCAACTTTCTCGATCGACTTTTACCTGTGTTAACCAGAATTCTATTAATCCTCTGATTAGTGCTCACGTGTATTATCGTAATGTTATATTGGTTAGTACTCATGGCATACTAACTCAATCGACACGAATAACCGGTCATCTATATTAATTATTAGTTTCGTTGGTTCATTAACAAGCTTTAATAACATTTATATGCTTCAGCGAAATAAGCTTGTTAAAGCATCAAACCTTACTAAATATGACCTGTAAATAATCTAAATATACATCAACTAGCAACGTTAGCATGTACCATAATTTTACAATATCTCTTTATAGGGCGCATGCATTGGGGTTTCTCTAAAGCATGTAGGCACATACATATACATGCCAAGTCAGTCACTCTTAGGTAGCTCTAGTATTTTCAACTTCAACAATCTACCAACAACAACCAGGTTTGACATTATCCTTGAAAGAGCACCCCAACTTCGATCATTTATCCTTACTCTTCAAAATACCATCAGCTATTAAGTAAGTAGTAATAATAAGGCCTTGCCCTAATTATTATCATCAACTACCCACTCCGAAAAGTAAGTTAACCTTTTGTTAGAAGAATTATTCAAAACTCAACTAACTAAAGGTTTTGACAAATCAGTAATAGAAAGGAGTCTGAAGAGATGTCCAGGTGCAGTTTAGTTTCGTACCACTAAACTCCTCAGGTCCCTAGTTTTCTTTACACTAAAAAGGCACAATATTATTTGCATACAAATGGAAATTTATGTAGAAGCCCGTCCCTACAGATGTGTCTCCTCAAACATTTGACAATGTACATATTTAAAAAGTCTCTAATAATTCAGGTTCACTTTCCAAGTCCTATGTTCCTTCCTAGGAAATTTTGACATCCAGATTCGGATCCGTATCACTTGGTAGCCTAACCGCTACACTGTCCGGAGACGTTTATTTCGCAAACATACTACACACCTGGCCAAACCCAGAGCAATCATAACACTCTGCACTACTATCTATGTGATGAACATGAAAGAGTGGTGGGCAAGAATTATAGCGTAGGTGGATGATTTCGGTGAAGTTTTGTTCTCTGAGCACAAAAATTTTGTGCTGATGATATCGTTCAGAAGAACGATGAGAGCTGTGCGACCAAACGAGCCAGCTCAGAGGATAAAACTTCAACAGAAACATGAAAGGGTTCATAATAATGCGTGAGGACTAGTGGTAAAAATGTGTATGTTGTCAAACTCATTTGACAAAACATATGTATTAAGGAATGGTGTACACTTTATAAGCAATCGTTCAGAGGAGACGTGTAGCCCATTCACCCAATCTTACTAACTGATCAATTTTTCTTCCTCGTTTCGCGGTTTTTAACTTATCTATATTAAAGCAACTTCTTTGGTGGTTGAGATCCATGTCTTTCAGAGTACTCAGTTTGAGGCTTCAAGTAGACCATTTTTGAATCTCAGTGATCTGGAATCAGCTACTTTTGAACTCGTCAAAGACATGCAAAGCAAGTCGATCAGTGAAATTTGAGAACAGAGGAACAGATGGGTAGAACACTCTTAAGAACTCTTGAATAAACCAACTCCATTGAATCTACCGTACATCGAAGCAGGATCCACAGACCTTCCCATAGATGTCACTCCACCAACGATGGGGGAAGTCAGGATTTCCATCACACAAATTAAGAGTGGGAAGGCAGTAGGACCTGACAATACAACAGCTGAAGCACTGAAGTCAGATATTGAAGAAGCTTCGAGTATGCTATGTAGGAAGATTGAGGATAAAGAACAAGTGCCGGCAGACTGGGAAGAAGGGCACCTCATCAAGATAAGAAAGAAAGGAAATCTGAGAAAACGTGAGAACAATGGAGTCATCATGCTATTGCCAGTGTCAGGGCAAGTTTTCAACAATGTTGCTGAACCGAATGAAAGACACAAGCACTTGACAGCATGGATAGGAGAACCTCGTAGGATAGTCTTCGACACTAGTGTACTTGAGAAGAATGTCATCGTCATACAGAATTCTTACAACGGACTACAGTGCAAAGTCGTTCATGGAGGGCAGTTGACAGATGAATTCCAAATAAAGACCGGTGTCAGGCAGGGTTGCTTACTCTCGCCCTTCCTCTTCTACATAGTGGTTGACTGGATTATATAGACCTCAACATCTCAGGACAAGCAATAAATACAGTGGACGGTTTGGATGCATCTAGACTGCTCGAACTGTGCATATGAGCAGAGCAACTGTCAGCCAGCACCAAAATCAGAATTGTCAATACAAACGTAAAGACAGTTCGATCGAATGGAACTGAGACTTGGAGAACTAAGCAGTCATCATCCGAAAGGTATATGTATTTGTAAACAATTGTCTACTCACGATGCACCAGATCCGTTGAATAAACGCCGTCAGCATCGACCTACTATAGCAAAGAACAAACCAGCCTCCAACTGAAAGGATTAGGAAAAGACTCTAGAGGTGGATAGGACTGTGCAGAAATATTCAAACTGCATGACGAAGCAAGCGCTAACTTGGAATCCTGAAGGGAAACGGAAAAGCGGAAGGACAATGAACACGCTGCGCCGAGAATTGGAGTCAGACATGAGAAGGATGAATAGCGACTGGAAAGAACTGGAAAAGATTGTCCAGCACACGGTTGGGTGGAGAGTGCCTGTGAGCGCCTATGCTCCTTGACGAGGGATAATAGACACATGTAACCAAATAATCCCTGAAAAACCAAAATCCAGAACTGTGTAGATTATGTAAAAAGTACTGAAAAAAGATTGAAAGATAGGCATGGTTGCGAGAATAGAGATAATGTCAAATCTGACCTCAATCATAAACGTCTTGTTTTATTACCTAACGAAACTGGCGGCGGAGTCCATTTAGTTTCAATTCCCTTGTAAGTAAATACAAATTCCGATCGTGGCTCTGTAGTGCTGGCTTGTTTTACCTGTATTGGCCTTCTGTTTCATCTTCAGTGTTTTTCTATTAGGTTTGGTTTGGGATCAAAGTTATTCGCCCTTTAATATCAACATTCTGGACAAAGCTGGAAGGACTGCTTGCTTAGAGACAGCCGGTCGGAATAACAAGTCTTCAGATAGTTACTTAATCTCTAATAAATCAGAAATTTTACGTGAGCCTCACACATCGAGATGGACCGCTGGCGTCACGCTGGCTTCAAAATCAAGCCATACCGATTCTATTCGTAAGGAGGTTCTGTTGTAAGTTTGCTCCGTTTGAATAATTCCGAATTAGCATTCTTAATAAGCTTACTGCTGAAAATTTCGAACAACAGGGTGATAAACTTCTTAGCTTAGATATCACTTCAACTTCCCTTCATGTCATTGCTCAATTAGTAAGCTTATTATCAGTACTTACCATTTTAGATTTATCAAAAAGCCATCAATGAACCAAAATTTACTTCCTTGTACGCCCAATTGTGTTTAAAACTATGCAGTAGTGTCCCTAATTTTGAGTCTGGGGGTTCTCAATCGGTAAAATAATTGAATTGTTAACCCCTTCAGACTTTTCAGATATTCTTAATTAAGTGTTGTGAAGATGAGTTCAAGACCAGAGATGTTTGTGATGATCAGATCTCACGTCAGAAGTGCTTGGGGAATCTACGCTTCATCGCTGAACTTGGGATTTGTGGTGTTATGTCCGAAAAAGTTCTGCATAACTGTGTTCAAGAACTTCTTTCCAGGAAAGGGCAACTTAGTTCAGTCAACGATTCGGAGATACATACATCTGCGCAGGAAAAAAACAAAACAGGCGAGTAAACTTTTATAGTACGGAGTAGAATTTTCGTAAGTATCGGGTTAAGTCAAGAAAAGTCTTGTTCATTAGGTCAATGAATCGATGTATGAAATGTCAATTTAATTGGTTCAGGAATATGTATATCTTTCTTGTCAGCAGCTGCTCTGGGCTTGATACAAAAGCCTGCGAGCGCTCACTAATCCCCCGTTGATCTTGTTTTAGACTATCAGACCTAAACCGTTGTTTACCCGTTCGCTTGGTACTTTGGAGCTACCTGTTTATTTCTAGGTTGGTAACTTTGATTGCTGTCCACATAAGAGGAACCAATAGAAATTGCTATCATTTTACAACATATCTGCTTATTATTCGAGACTTCAGAACACTTCTGAGTAAGTTAGTGGGTGCCTATTTTAAGTTGATTTGTTGATGACTTCTCTAGGTTTGATGCTTTTATGAGACATGGTAATTCATTCCCCTATTCTTCAGTTTAGTTGAGGGGAGTGGCCCCCCTAAGGAAACCACCTGCTTCGGTTTGGGCACCCGGGCAGTACCACAGCCTTCACACATGTCGAATGAGAATTTTGTGGCGCATATATATTTGGTGCCTCCTTGTACCAATATCTGTGTTAAAATAATAAATAAATAAAGTTTAGTTGAAGTGAGACAAGTAACCTTTCTTAGTAGAATTACGACTACTGGCATCAAAGGCTGCTGTCCCCGAGCTGGATATCTTTAATTATGATTAATCTCTACATTAAATTTAGCTCGTCCATTTTTGTTGAGGTTCATAGATATTCAGTGGAATACGAATTAAATCGGCAGGTTTAAGATCGCCTACCCTAATGGACACAAGTATTTATCTTTGAGTTGATCCAGATAATCAGTTGGACACTGCTAGCGAAGAACCGGCCTAGTGGCTAAATCACTTGAATTTTAATCAGTAGATCATATGTTCAGACTCCATATTGCTTTAGAAAACCAGGTTATACCACCGACCTTTACGGTACGCAATAAATACAGGCATACTCGGTAAATGAATTATATCATTGCTCTAATGTATTGATCATTGTCTTGTCTTAGTTTCCGCTAAGTCAACCCTCATTATAGGTTTTTATGCAGTTGTGTAAATGTTTTTTGCAGCCCATACAATTCGGGAGCGCTCTTTGTCCGCTGACTTGGAATGTCTTTGTCAGTTCTTGACTGCTGTTGGGAAGCACATGGACACACCGAAAGCGAAAAACTTAATGGATCAATATTTTCATCGATTGCGTCGTATATTATCACGCGCTTACGATTCAAATGGATTAACATCCAACAACATGAAAATGTATCAACGGAAGGAAAAACCTTTAAGTCGTTTTCGAAGCCGAATGATAACTGCATCTTATCTTCTAGAGTGCGGTTCATGATTGAAGATTTGATAGACCTAAGGGAAAACAATTGGATTCCACGTCGAGCTGGTCAGCGCACAGAAACAAACAAGCCACGTTTCCTTCGAGATATTCGCTTGGAAATATTAAAAGTAAAATTTTGCCGAATGTTTTGTGTCAACGTGAATTTTACTTTTAAAAATTGTCTTCAAAGTATTTTCTTGCTATAAAGTTTGCTTTAACAAGAATCAAAGTTCTTATCTTTTATACTGGTCATCACATCCAATTTTTGTTAAATTTTGTAGTGGTCCTATCAATTTTGTTAGTGAGTATCAATACTCCACATAGAAATAAAAACACAGAGGGGCGAAGTAAAAATTGATGACATTTGGTTTTACTAGTTTGTTAAATCCACTTCATTGAGGATCCAGCAAATAACTTGGAATTATGTGAAGCCTATTAAGAATAAGATAAATTCAGTCTATGTTCTTTAATTTCCGAGTTACAATAAGCAAAAAGTTACATGTAGTTTATTTACAGGCTACATTATTTTTGCAAATGATGGAGTTGCTTGGAATTGTTTAATTACCAAGAAAAAACATTTCTGCAATCCAATTGATTCGCGTCAGTTGATAGAGGGAGGTGAATGCTTCCGTGTACTGAAGTTCATATGGATGTAAATAAAAATAATAGTGGTTTTACGGCTAATAATTCATTGGATCTCAATTATCATGGATTTTATTACATTTGAGCAACATAACAAACTAGTTTTATTTCCTTCTAGAAGACCACTAATTATTTAACAACTAAATTTGGCAAGACTAATTTATGGACGAACCAATCAGATATAAGACGACGAGTCACGAATTCGGGCGCGGAATTCATTCATACATTTGGCTAACTAGAGTTTTGGCATTATAGTTGATGTCAGTTCGTGGTGAAAACCCTATATCTAATTTTTAACCCTAACCATCAACTGTAAGTGAGAATTCTAACTGCTGTATAACCCTCATTTAGTCCTAATTAGTAGCTGTTCACTCTCAAGGTCACTTCAGCGTCGCTCAAAGATCGTCCATTAATTGTAGTCTCACCCTAAATTCCTCTGTTTTCCATTTCCGCCACATTGTTTTTAATACCGCTTTATTTTTTAGGAATCTGGAGTCCTTGTTGCCCCAACTCCAAGTGAGCGCTCTGTCACACAGCCAGATGTACCTGGGAGTGCTTTTATGGGTCACTCATCAGCTTCAAGTAACTCTTCAGTGAATGGCGAATTTCCTTTCGTAAGTGGTCTGAGCTCTAGTTCATCGAAAAATAATAATGGACTTAATACTGGTGAAGCTAAAAGTTGGATGGAGTTGGCGCGAATGGGTGAAGAACTCTGTCGTCAAGGTCCTCGTGATTTCTGTTTGTTGGATAACAGAAATCGTATTGGGAGAGCCCCATCAGTCAATTTCATGGACGTCCACAGGCTGGTGTTGCCACAGATAATCGGCGCTTTTTGTCTAGCAAAAATGATTTGTCCCATTCAAACAATATTCCTCATCAAGGCTCTAAACCAAATAACACTGACAGCTGGACCAAAAGAACGGAGAAAAATGAAGTCAGTAGCGATGTAGGGTGGGTACGTGGTGTCAACCCAAAACTACGGAACTCCGTTATTACTCTGAGTAACGGCATATCAACAACTAATTCTAATTTACCTCCTCGAATGCTCAGAAAACTGGCTGCGGAAGCTGCTGGAAATTTACAGAATAACTCGACATCAAATGTTTTTAACGAAACAAAACAACCTGTCCATTCGGAAGTACAGAGCTTCCATGCGAAATCCAGTTCTGATAATATGACATCCATTTCCAAAAACAGTGCATCCTGCACCACGTCTTTTATCCATCTCATTGGTCAAGTCAGTTCGTCTGATCCTTTTGAGGTAAATCTCTTAAATTTTCTCATTAATTTCCTAAAACCAAACACCGTTTTTGGACGTGATTCCGTTTTATTCAGAATCTTACTGTAGTATAAGGCTTCAACTCTTCATTCTGTTCCACTGATTCAAATAATTGGTATTAGTGTTTAATATCTCAAGTTTACTATACTTTTCTATTTTTGTTCTTGGTGTTATTGCTTCATTTGTGTATCATCTTAACATCAAGATATTTGTGGGTTAGTATACTTGATCAAAGTTTATGCAATGAGAACCTTTAAACCTGAAAGTCCCAATCGGTCACTATTCATGAGAGTCAACGAGCACCTCACTGAGTTTGGTTTTGTGGACTTTGTCAGAAATAACTACGTAAAACCGACAAGAGGCGTCTGTTACTGTAGTAAAAACACATTTTAAATCTCAATCAACCGAAAACACTAGTCTAAGTTATGTGAAACTTAACTTTCCTAACTACAAACGTAGTCTAGTTCCTAGTATGTGTATACAATCAAACTGTTAGTTAAATATTGACACTGTACACTAGTGACCCTCTCTTTTTACATTTCTAGTGTCTGTTTACTTTGATAATACATGAATATAGTATTCTATTTAATGACATTCAGTAATGATATCAGTTTATCTCTGATTGGATTTGTACTTGGGTTGTTGTCCCGACCCACTTATTAAACAAGTATAACTGACCTTCATTTGTTTGGGTTTTTTTCGAAGCCTGCATACCTGCAAAAAGAAAGGTTATCAGTCAGTGGTGGAGATGAAGTCAGTACCCAAAAACTTGTTTGGTCTTATCCTAAATGTGTTCCAAACACGGCGATTTATGGTAGCTCAAATCCACCTCTTCCGTTTAAACCACAATCTTCTATTTCACGTCCTCACTTAATAAACAACCGAACTTCCCGGATATTCAAGCAGCAGTTCAGAAACCATGTAATCGTAAATTTGACCAGGTTAAATCATCTAATTTGAACAACATGGTCCAGTCATCAAACAATCTTGCTGAAAACAATTACAATACCACGCACGCCGTTGATGAAAACAGGAAAATCGCCCTTAGATTAGTAAGTTTTTGTAGTAATTTTTTATTGTAATGTTAACCTGCAAGATCTAAATATTACATCTGTAGCCTTATTTGCGAATGCCATCGGCTTATACAATTTCGCACAACCAAAACCAACTTCAATGGAAGGGCTAGATCTTGTCGGGCCTGAAGTCTATGTGAAGGATTGAGTTAAATAGCTGAGGGATCGTTCCAAGACTGGGTTTCGGTTGACAGCTACTTTTGCAGTATCAGAGTGGATAGCACTTTAAAAATATGAAATGATGGATGTTATCAAATAAGGTTTTAATAATATGAGTTTTGGATTATTAGAACGAAGAATGCGAACCAGTTAATGAAATGTAATAACGTGGTATTACTGAGTGCTAACTACTTACAAGAACGAATTATTTAATTATGTTCCCTGTTGTATAGATATCAAGAAACATGAGCACTGACCAAAAAACTTGATTAAATAAAAAAACATACAAACTATTAACAAAAAATTTACTCACCCTTCAGTCAGTTAAAACCTGACTATTAGGGTTAATTCTTATCCATCATATCAGTTATACGTAGTTTTGGCTTATAGTGTCATTGAACGAAACCCGGAGCTATTTTCCCTATTTTGCAAAATCAAACACTCAGACGTAGTAACTTAAGTAGCTAATCATTCTATAAGATAAACATTTACTTATTTAAACTATACTTTCATTTAGCGAAGTTCTTTTATAAGTTTTCTATTCACTTTCTAGATGTGAACGTAGCTTCATTATATTGCTATCTAGTGAAAATTCCTATATGGGTGTTAAGTAAAACAATAATTAGAGCACAGAGATGTTTCTTACGGTTTTTCACCATATATATATATCAAGGAACGATGTTTTAGTCTCTAACAATTAATAATAGTAATAAGCATTCACCGGGTACCTTTGTATGAGCTACACTAGTCAGTCAGCTACAACGTAGGATCAGGCACATATATGCATCGGTCCAAGTTGCCATACCTCATTAACACAACAAGATAGACACCAGATTCATAAAAGTAGTTAATTCAGAGGTGGTAATATATAAAAGAAAGATTGCAATAAGGATATAGTACAGGAAGAAAGAATTAGCTCGTAGAAAGAAAGATATGAAGCGATTTTAATCTCTTAGTTTAAGGGAAGATAGAGAGTGTATACACCGACGCCATTGTGATCGATTCTGAGCCATGTCACCAAGAGTCTCCAACCATTGGTTACGATAGTCACGCGGACCCCAACCAAGTAGTCTGCATCTACCAACATGGCTCAGACTAGAAGTTAGTGACTTCAAGCACTGATGCCACGTTTTGGTTTGGCCGCCCCTAACTTTCTTCCAACCATCTCCAACACCGGTTAGCATTGCACGTCGTGGTAATCGGTGTTCAGGCATACGTAACACGTGGCCCAACCATCTCAGTCGATGAAGATTCACAACCTCATCAACTGATTTACCATCATTCCCTAATACCCTGCGTCTAACCTCACTATTACTTACCCGGTGATCCCAGCAGACGCCAGCAATATTTCTAAGGCATCTGTGGTCAAATACTAGTAGCTTACGAGTGTCTTCTACTCTTAATGGCCATGTTTCGCTGCCGTAAAGTAAAACAGAACGGACTGCCGCGCAGTATACTCGTCCTTTTATTGATAGACGGATATCTCGCCTTCGCCATAGGTGACGTAAGTTGGCAAAAGCCAAACGAGCTTTTCGAATCCGTGCTGAGATTTCGTCAGACACCAACCCATTAGGGCTGATCAGACTTCCAAGATAAGTGAAGTTGTCAACGCGTTCGACTACTTCACTCCCTATCCTTAGTTCAGGTGTTGACGCAGACCAGTCCTGAAGCAACAACTTGCATTTAGAGGGAGAGAAGCGCATTCCAAACATTCTGGCATTGTTGCTTAGTGCTACCAAAAGACTGCATTTTGTCAGCGTCTTCACCAAACAGGACTATGTCATCTGCGTATTCTAAGTCGATAAGTGGACCTCCTGGAAGGAGATCAATACCCGAGAATTCAGTCGACGAGAATGTTATTTCCATCAATAGGTCTATGATGAAGTTAAACAAAAATGGAAAAAATGGACAGCCTTGACGGACACCACTTGAGGTTGCAAAAGTAGATGACAGTTCGCCATAAGCTCTGACTCGACTAGTAGTGTTCGAGTAAAGAGCCTTCACAAGGTTTATGTACTTCTGAGGTACGCCTTTCAATGACAGACACTGCCACAGAATCTCGCGGTCTACCGAGTCAAATGCTGCTTTTAAGTCAAGAAAGACCACCATTGTCGGACGCCGATAAGTATGCCTGTGTTCTAGAACCTGACGAATGGTGAATATGTGGTCGATGCAGCCACGACCAGGTCTGAAGCCAGCTTGATTCTCTCGTGTTTGCAGTTCACGAGTCTTAGTTAGGCGTCTGATAATTATCGAGGCTAGTATTTTAGATACTATATTAGTTAAACTAATCCCTCTGTGGTTGTCACAGGATGATTTTGACCCTTTCTTATATATTGGGACGATAAGTGATTGTGACCAGTCAGATGGGATAACGTCTAACTCCCAGATCTTAGCTAAAATATTAGTCAACCTAATCGCTAAAATTGGACCACCATCCTTAAAGACCTCTGGAGCCAATCCATCTGGACCAGCTGCCCTTCCTCGTTTCAGATTAACTATAGCCTTCTGAACTTCAGCTAGAGTTGGGGGACCTACTTCAATGTTCCATTCACACTGTCTGGGAATGGAGGGTAGTTGTAGAGTAGCTGAAGGCCAGCTGAACTGTTCTCTGAAATGTTCCGCCCATCGTTCTAAACGTCTGGACTGGGAGCAGATGAGAGTATCGTCTTTTTCCGAAATAATCTCACTTACACTTGACTTATTAATTCCAGTTTCTTTTATTAGTCTGTAAAGCTGTCTTGTGTTCCCTATAGTCGCCGCCTTTTCCATCTCTTTTGCTTTCGTTGCCCACCACTGCTCACGGTCGTTCCTTAGACTTTTTTAACCTAGATCTGATTTGTTGTCGCTCTTCATCATGTTCAGAACCTGATGGGACGAGTTTGCGAGAATCCATCAGTGTGATAGACTTTGAAGAAATCCACTGGTTCTTTGTAACCCTGTGGTTTAAGTCACTAATAGATGTCACTGCTGTTTCCACAGCTGTTTGTATGCTTTCCAAGCAACATCTGGGTCAGCCTCGTTTTCAGAACTACCTAAGTGTGACCTCAGTTGTTCCTGGAACCTACTTTTTTTTTCTCGTTACTCAATTCAGTTCTAATGGGTCTTTTTAATGTGGCTTTTTTGCGTCCAGTGAGGCGCAAGCAGATGCGTGCCCGTATTAGGGCATGGTCGGAGTCCAAGCAGGTACTCCAGAATGAGCGACAATCTTCTACCGACCCTCTCCAACGATGACTGATGGCAATATGGTCTATTTGAGTCCATCGTTGGTTTGGTGTAGGGGGTCGCCATGTTAGACGATGTCTCTCCTTATGCTTAAAATTTGTGTTTGCTAAAAATAAACGATTGTCTGAGCACAGTTGCAGCAGACGATCACCATTATCTGTTCGCTGTGCCGGAATACTAAAATACCCACCTAAATGCCTTTCTGTTTGGTTTAAACTACCTATCTGAGCATTAAAGTCACCTGCTACGAGTACTATGTCTGAGCGTTTAGCTTTCTGAAGAAGTTCAGATAGCTTTCTGTAAAATTCATCTTTCACTTCATCTGAGCTGCAGTCAGTGGGAGCGTAGGCAGAAACGACAAAAAGGCAACGACGTGTGTCCCTATCCTTCCGAGTTCTTACGGAGCCGTTTAGCCGAACAGCACATAGACGACTGTTGACGGGGATCCACTCTAGCAGTGCTTGTTCCGCCCTCATGCTTAGTGCTATGCCTACACCTGCCAGTCCACGAGAACTGGCCATCGGGTCACCAGATACACGGAGGGTGTATCTCGTTGGCTCTCCGTTTTGCCGAGGTGAGGTCAAGTGAATGACCACACTGGGATCCTGTATGCGTGTTTCAGAGACACAGCATACATCAATGGTACGAGATTCTAGGGTTTTAGCCAAGGAAGCCTGCTGACCGATTTGACATAGGGTGCGTACGTTGAAGGCTCCAATGTGTAGTTTGGAGCGAGGTTTCAGTAGACCTGGGACAGTGTTTTGAGCACTAGAATCGTTGGCTATGGTGACACTTGAGGGGAAGCCGAAAAAGAAATTTAGAGTTGAAAGTCGATGTAGGAGGAATAATAGGAATTGAAGAGGAGGTTGATTATGAATACAGTGGTCTTGAGTGCTGTTAGAGGTATGAGGGCGGTAATCACTTCCCGGTTGCCCACACCGTGGAAGGGTTCTTCTGGAGGTACCTGAAAAGGAAATTGGATTAGAGGTGGTCTTAGTGACCTGAGAGCGTGACCGCAGTGCCCAAGGGACAACTGCTTGAGGTCGGTCACACACGACCTTTTATGGGTAATTTTTGTGTTAGCTCCGTACTTTTTGAGACCTTACCGCCGGAGACGGATATCCGTGGGATAAGGCGAGGTGTGCATTTTTAGGGTCGACCTTTTCTAACCCCACCCCTCCTTGTGGGAAGGCAGCATCGCTGTCATGCTGGTTGTCTGAAGGAAACACCTTACTGCTGTCACACCTCTGTACAGTCAGCAGTACGACTTCGCCTTCGGACCTTGGGTTTGTTGCTTTTAGTCTTACCGCTCTTCAACCGACCTGTCTGACATGGTAGGACCTTGAGGAACGGTTGTTCCAGCTAGTATAGCTCGGTTGCTTCATCACGATAGGCAAGCCCGACCACCACGTCAAGGTAGCAACAACGGTCGAGATGAGCTACACTAAGTGTTTAATGATGCTACTCAGTCGCCCAAGCGAAAGTAGGGTTATTTGGGCGTAAACCTAAGATTTATTGACTGAAAGTCGAACTCCTTAACCATCAAGCTCATCATGATACCAAATGTATTAACAGAAATAAGTTTGATTGCTTTTCACTAAACTTGTAATTTACAGCTCACTTTATTGGGAGATTCTCGTGATCCTATCCTGGTTAAAAATCAATTAAATTCATCGGATTTCAGTCGAATAACAACCGAAGTTCTTGCCGTTGCTGTTTTACATTTATGTGAAGAAGGTGAGACTAGTTGCTTTATTTTTATTCCTAAGTTATATGTTCGAGTTTCAGTTGTGTCCATTAAATTATCTCATTAAAGACTACGTCGTTCATACATTTATATCATTACCCTTCATGCTTGAAAGTGGAGTGTATATACGATGAAAAATGCATATTAAGGCCTAGGCATGAGAACATGAATTAAAACACAATTATATGAACGAAGAATATTCTTTTCAATAATTTCTCATCAGGTTCTACAAATATAAATCCAATTTAATAATCCATAAAATTGGCCAAGTTTAAGGCAAAGTACATCATTTAAAATTGTAATATGTGAATCAAGAATTGTTGTTTGTCATATAAAACCAAATCAGATCGTTAATGTTGGGGTTGACTAATATAAAGTGTTAACTAGAATCAGTTTATAAGTGAAATGAAATTGTGACCTAAATGATCAGAATAAATATGGTCAATATGGGCTGAGAGAGAATAATGGAATAAAAATAAGAAATTACGTAATGTGTAGAATAATATGAATTATGTCAGATATAGTAGATAGGGCTGGATGCTGAATAGATTTCTCAAAAAGTTAGTAAGTGTAATAATAATAGTGATAAAGATAATAATAATAATGACAATGGTAAAATGTGTGAATAAGTTTAGGATATAAGAATAAACATTAATCGAATGTCTTTTTAAACCATATTCCCAACAGTTTAGTTTTCCTTTTTACCACTTCATTTTCATTTTGTCTCTTGTTATTTCCATCTCGTGCTAATCAGTTATAGCGACCTGGGCCAACGCACATTTGTTTCATTGATGTTGATGTCTGTCTGACTGTTAAATGGACAACACCATGAAATTAAAGATTCAGACAAATGCTTGTTTGGAAATTTTGACTCATTCGAGATTATATAACAATCGATCTTTGGTTTGCCGTTTGCATATTTATTTTAGCACATGTTATTGTCTAAAAATAATGTTCCGTACGTTTTAAATTATCAATCGCTTACATGAGCAGTTGTTCTACTCGGATTGATTATCCTCTCTTTGCTGACGTATAAGACGTCAGAAACTGGAAGTTTTTCAGCATTTCCCGGTGACCTTTTTGTCTCATTATTAAGTACCGATCCAACTTCATCGGTTCTGTGTGCAAGTACACCCCTAACTTACCATTTATTATTTTTTACGACAAACGTCAACGAGTGGAAATAACGTTTGTCTAGGATTGTTCCTCTTATCACTAATCACGTTTTCAGACATTAAAGATGCTTTAGTGAAGAACATTTTCAGTGACATAATTTACTAAGGCTGTAAATTTGTATTTATAGCTGTGCTAAATTACATTGTCGGAAAAATTTTTCTAGTTGAAACGCTGAAACCCAGTGGTTTTCTTTCACTGTTTTCAGACATTATTCTCACAGTGGATCCAAAGTTTAGTAAAAAACGAAAAGTAATTTGTACGAAATTACAAATTTATATCCGAAAATTATTGTGAATCGATCAATTGTTTATCGGATTATCTTGAGATAATTCTTTAGAAATTGTTACTATTCCATTTTACTCTGGTTTTAAAAGCTCTAGATACGGCATATCAGTTCATAGGTGATGATAAGCTAACAAATATCTACGTTAGTGGGCTTCAGAAATATGTTATAACGCTTAGTAGCTTCTCATAGTAACAATGTAGTAAAACCTAACAGGTTTGTCAAGTGACTCACATTACCGAGATTTATTTAATTAAAACGTTAGCATTATAGTTGCCTATTTGAGGATATTCTAAACAATTGTATACTGTTTTTCAGTGTATGGACGGTATATGCTTATCATGTATTCATGAACGCCGATGCAGACCATTTTGATACACACCTAATTTCCAAGAATGCTTTTATGTTACATAGTGTTGTCCAATATTTTTAGTTGTTCCAAATATGTTTTTATAGTTATTACAGCTCTGTTTCAGTCTCACAAGTACACATTCTCATTGGATTTTATTGACTTGTTTGCTTGTATGTCTCATATCTTACCCTAAAAGTAAAATTACTTTTGTTTCCTCAAGGTACTAATCTTAAATTGGCGGAGGCGGAACCATGTGAATTAGCTGCAATATTAGTAGCATGTGCTGAAAATCTATTGCATCGCGATGCGTCTACATCATTCCTTGCATCTAAGGATAATCGCAAAACGAAACTTACAAAATTGTCGTGTCATCCTTTATCTCTCGTATGGTCAAACCTCCTTAGCAAGATTTTATGTGTGACACAGTTAACTTATTCCAAGTCCAAACTAGCATTATTATCAGCTGCTTTAATTTGGAGTCGTCATATTAGTCTGTCTGAATTTGGTGAGCCCTTACGTGGGGGTAAACATCATCCCTTGTTTTTACTCGTTCTACAACGTTTATCACAAATTGTTAGTGAAGATGGAAGTGAAACAATTTGTATATCTGGAGCGGGATTAAGTGACAGACGTTCCTTGCTCATCCAATTATTTCAAGAGAGTGAATTGCAAATGAATCAAATGGTCCCAGGTTCGTTGTTTCTGTCAAATATTTCCTTTTCAGTTAGATTTTTGTAACCATTTTCTAAGGATTTGAACTATTACTGAAGAATACAGAGGCAGCTACAGTGTATGTTCTGTGTACTACCATTCAGGATATACATTTACGGAAGCCACTGTACGCTACCGCCAGTGTGCGTATGAATTAAATGTTTTCGGACTTGAAAACTTTATTCTACGTCATTCTATCTTTGTAAATGTTCAACATATATTTCTAATAGTAGTATTTACTTTAATTACACTTATGATATTTTATCTATAGAAGGGAGTCAAACAAACGAAGCTTTGTTGTCTTTGCTAGAAGAACGTAATTTAGATTTTCTCGTCCCGAGCTTACGATTGTCAACGGAACTATCTCACCTTATTATGGATACTTCATCCTTAGAAGGGAAATGTCCAGAAGAGTCTGACAAAATCACAGCTTCTAAATTCAACGATTACCTTTCAAATCATCCAATTGATGCCAGGATACGAGCATCAGACTACATTCATGCTTGCTTGCCAGTCATTTATGAATATATTCACAGAGTAGGAATTATTGATCTTGGCAGTTTGTCTTCACCCCCCACTTTAATGGCTAGAGAAAAAGCTGCGTGGGAGTGCATAGTACCTCATGTACTTATCGAAGTTTTACGGAGCTCAACAGACCGACAGTTGGATGCTCTTCATGACCTGCAGTCCTTCTGGGTTGATAAAAATATGCCTAAAGGTCAGTATACTTTCAAATTATGTTGTCCAGTAAATCATTTTTATATCAGTTGGTGGTAAAGATTTTTATCACGATAAACCTAATGGAATAATTGAAAACGCTTATTTTGCTTTTATATGGGTTCCTTTGCTGTCATCTTTCAGTTATTTTGCATCCTATTTGTAGATTTAATTCATTTAACATAGGATGGTAGTGCTTACTCTAAGCTACATCATTTTATGCTTTTTGATGACTTATGAATGTTGTTAATTTGATGTTTAAAAATTACAGGTGTGAAACTTTATTGATGAGTGCATTACAGAAGACAACATGAAGGTTCAGAAGAGTATTTAGTTGAAACATTCAATCACTTGATAGAGTTTCAAACTAAAACGGGGTAACTTGACCATATGTTATGTATCCGTAGTCGTTTCTAGGATTTTATCAGAAACGACACTAATAGTCTCACATCAATGAATCGAAAACTTTTCAGTCACATAAAATGTCTTGTTAGTTCCTTATTTTTAAGTTAAATGCGAGCTGCAGCAGATGATACACGGAATTTCTTTGAGGCTATAATGGATAGGACTTACACGGTTTACAAATTTATAATCAATTAATCATCCTTTTTTCGACATTATCTAAGACATTTTGGTCCAAAAGGTACGGTCATTAGGATCTTCCTACTCACACTCATCCTAATATGAAGTCATCTACCTGGTCTTTATAATCATCATGATTCGTAACTTTTATTTTCACCTATCATTGTTCTTTTGTTAAGAATCACCATAAATTGTAGGAACATGTTTCTAGGTAGTACACTTCGCATGGGTCTCATGTGATTATGAGGTGCTAATTTTCGCTGACTGTTGGTTTAGCAAGAATCTCCTAGAGATAACTTCCACACAGCCTGGAATATCCTTAGGTTTCTTGAAAACTCAGTCTTTGACAGATTACTGTGATTTTTATATTCGCACCTATTCATATTGGGAGATGTGATCATGTGCTTTTCGTATCGTATAATGTTGCTTGGTTTAGATTTTCTTTAAAATCGAAGTGTTCATATATTACTAGTCACCCTAAACTTACGATAAGGGAAGTTAATTGTCCTTCTTCAAGCCTCTTGACAAACGCAGCACTATCTACCTTTGGGAGTATTTTCGTTGCTCATAGTTTCCAGTTTAACTCAATTCGCTCTACATTGTTGACGTCACTCGGTTGGCATCCACTAGTCGGTTCGTAATAAAAGTCTTGAAAATAAATGAGTTCCATAAGAACAATTAATCTTCTCTTTTTTGAATGGTGGCTTAGTGGTTAAGGTGTTCAACCTTCAGGTTTGTCCCCCCTCTTCGTCTACCTCAGTTTGAGCGACCGGGCAATATCATTAGTCCTCAAACTTAGTGTGTGACTCATACTCAAGTACCTGGCGAATTAATTAATTTCCATTCTTTGTTTTTGAATTATCTTCGTCGGTAGTCGGTGACTAGATCGTTTATTGCTACTATCAATCAAATAAGGACCAAATTGTTTTGACGTCTATTCGATGTACAAAGTTTCCAATTCACGCTTAACATTTTGAAACTAATCTCTGTTAAGGAACTGCGTTATTGTAAAAAAGGAAACTAATGGATTATTTGCTCAGTTCAAGTCTCTAGCTATTAATAATTCCCCAATAATTTTATACTAATTAGCTTTCCAGTTAAAGGAATATGTCATAAAAAAGCTTTGTCTAGAAATGAGTTTTGTCAGCACTAAAGTAATGCTCGTTTCATGTTTTATTACAGGGTTTTTGTTTCGTTGTTTTATGAACCTTTATAATTGTGAGCTTGTATGTGAAGACGCCTTTTTAACATGGAAAGAAGAAGTGAATCCCAGTTATCCTGCTAAAGGCCAAGCACTATTTGAGGTACACTGTTTGTCATGTTAATTTGATATTTTATGGTAATTAATCAGTGACTTATTATACATTGTAGAATCTAGTTTATATATACATCAGTTCAGGTTGCGATATTATATCAAGAAAACTGTGATATCAGAATATCAGAGATAATAACATCAGTTGTAGTAGAAAGAGTCAGCATATGTATGATTCAAGAAGAAAATATGAATTTGTGGAATGCAAAATCACGAGATAATTTTAAAATTCAGGATCTAAGGGAAGGCAAAAGTAAATGCATCTGTCCCAACGCACCCGATTGTGACTCATGTTACTCAACGTCTCCACCCGTTTATCACAGGGTAGCTTACATCTACAAACCAAGAGCTACTAACTTATGCCGTTATTTGCTTTGAAGGTCACTAGTTTGTTTTCCAACCTATTTCTACCCCAACCAACATCGCGCGTCGAATTAGTTGGTGTTTCTGTGGACGCAATACGTATCCCATTCACTGCAGTTGATAAAAATTCACAGTTTCATTAAATAATTCCAACGCTTTACAACCATTAAGTAAAACAAAGCAAACTTCTGAACAGCATACTCCCTCGTCGTCGACAGACGAAGATCTCGCCAACACAACTAATGATGCGAGTTGGCAAACCCAAGCAAGCTGTTTGAATACTAGCCAGGATGAGTAAATTGGTCGATGCAATCATCTATTTCATTCCATTTGATCAATCCAGACAACAACGCAGACCCGTCCTGAATCAGCGTTTTCTATTCAGAGTAGGAGAACATATCCCAAACATGCATTGTTGCTCAAAGGTGATCAGAAAACTTCCGATCATCTCTCGATTCACTAGTTGTTTTCGTTCATCATTTCTTCCTTTCTATAGGACTTTGAGTTCAATATCCATATTCTGAACTGCATTTTTTGGTGTATGTTTATTTGTCTGTTAGACATACCACCATGCTGTTAATTCACTTTCTTTTGGCTCTTACCTATTCTCTGATTTATACATGTAGAGAATCCGGTGACCGTCAAAATCTAAGCAAACATCCACTATTACCATATTATTTTTATTTGATAATTTGTTTGTTTCATTGCTTTGGTTTTGTATGTTTGTTACCTTGACATCCTAGTTCCTATTAGGGTACGCAAACTATTTTATTAAATCTTTCTTGTTAATTATTTCATCACAGTGACTTTCATTTTCAGGTCAATCGCTGGTTAACGTGGTTAGAAACAGCAGAGGAAGAAGACGAAGAAGACCAATGTAAATCTGATTCAAATGAGGATCATGCAAAGATAGTTCAAGAAAGTTCAATGGATTCGGAAAACTCAGAAGCTTCTAAATCTCCCAACCGTTTTATTGATATTGAGTCTCACAATATGCCACTGGCCCTGCATCCCAGTTCAGCAGCTTTGCGTTCCTGAATAACCCCTTTAGTTTCCGAACTTGATATCAGTTTTGTGTGTTGATATGATAATGATGCCTGTAAATCCTAGATTGTATGTCTTGCATGGAAAATCGGTTTTGAAACCTCGTCTTTACCAAAACAATTTTTCGGACCTTCAATCACATTGGGCTTCAATTTTCCTTATTATATTATTATCAAAAATCCTGACTTTCATTTTACTTCCTGACACTTGGTTACCTAAGTGCAAGGTTGTCTCGTTTATGTAACCATTATTCATGCCTTACGGTAAATGAGTTGCTCTTTAATTTTAGCAGTGGTGAAGTGCCACTGGTAAATGTGTCTAGAAAATTATTACAAGAACCCACATCCAGCTACCGAGTTTCATCAACATTTAATCTCGTCCACTTAATTTTTGTTATCACTGATCCATGTAAACTACAGTACCATATACACACCAATTGCATCGTAAGTTGCATTTCACTGTCACTTCAAGTTTAAGCTTATGTAGTTACACTTCAAATACTTGTACGCTGTCAATGGAAATTATTTCGATATAGGTGATTGAGATCAGTCGTTCTAACTTCTCCTCTAGATAGTCAATATTTTCAGTAATATTAGATTCTTACTCAATATGACAGGTGTTATCAGATAAAATTACGTTTTGGTACACAGTTATTATCCATCGTGAAGAATAATACTAAATTTATTGTTGATTGGTCATACATGCATGAGCATTGCATTATACATAAGGGCATAGAAGCAGATTTAGATGGGATGGTGGAGAGGAAATTCCAAAAACACCAGAGAAGTTTTAGAAGTCTGGCACTCAGGTCAATCAGCAATCAAGAAGCACATTGAAATCGATCCAGTTTATCAACCAATCAGGAAAATTATGCACAAGTATAGGAACAAAAATCAAACCAATGGGAGACGACCAAAACAAAAGTAAACAATGACAAATTTAAGGTCAATAAGAACCAATGAACGTCGAGGTGTACAGAGCAACGTGTGAGACGCAAATGGAAAAAATGAACTCTTCACTTCTATCGGAAGTTAGTGCTGATGATGTCGTTCAGAAGAACGATGAAAGCTCCACGACCAAACCATCTAGCCCAGAGAACAAAACTACATCAAGATTTTAATGGGGCTGGATTTTAGAGTCGTGGGTTTGTATTTGTTCCATGAGAATAGTTCATTAAAATTAGACCGTCCTGAATGATAAATGTCGTTTACCAAATAACCATAAACGTTATTTAAAAAATAAAAGATGAATATCTGTCTATCGTCAGTTAAAAATCATATTTTGTAAAAATTTAGAATCCGAGTCTTCAACCCAACATATCTACATCTTTCTGTTGTTAGGTACCTCGGTTAAATTCACTGTGAAGGAACTCACCTGACAAATACATGAGGCTATACTGTTTTATGTTCATATTCTTTATATCAGTAAATTAATCATTTCACTAGGCTTAAAGAAACAGTGACGCGAATGACTGGTAAAATAATAATTGTCTACTGTGAAATGATTGCAAACTCCGAGAATTTCAATGAATTCAGCCATATCTTTTATGAAGATGTTATTTTGGATATTGTACCTTATGAAACACTTATATCTCTTATAACACTAAATCCAGTAATTTCATTTATAATGTCTATCGGATAGCTTTTGATATGTACGTATGAACCCTCACGAATGAATACGCTGATCAAAAGCCGGAATTTCACGTACGAACAGGTTCTGAAATTTGTCCTTTGGAATTCATTCAGTGTTGCTTGTATGGTGAGTTCGTAGTTTCATTAGACCACGATTGGTTTCCTCAATGTGAACAAAGGAGCAGTCGACAAATTAGATAGAAATCGCTGAATGGTCTAGATAAATTTTTGGCTAGATTCCTGAACAGGTACTGGTGACATCATTTGTGTGCCCTATGTTAGGAAATGAGCTTGGTTCTTTGTCGCTTAAAAAAGCAATCTTAATCTGGAAATTCTTTTTAAATGAGAAGTTTAATATTCGTAAAATTTCAAGTTATTTGATTTCTAGCTGTTTACGCACTTTGAGTAATCTCTTGAAACTAAATGACAATGTATTTGAAGATTGGAATGTCTTTTGACCACCAGACCTCTTTAATACTGGTGAATCACACTTGAAGTCTTTTCAATTTAATCTCACACCTATGTACAATATGATACTAATATTCGAATCGACTTTGATACATTCTGAGACCCAAGGTCATATTTTGAGCAGTGTCTATCCACTTTTACCTTGATGTACAAGCTAGTATGATGAAATGTTTCGGTTTTTTCTTACATATTCAAATGAGCTAGCTATGAGAGATGAGAAGTCAGTTAAGCTGTTCATGTAAGTAGCATTCAGTGTTTGTTTTGTAATATTTGATTAAAAAAAAACAAATTTTAAAATCGGATGTATACACTTTTGGAACGTTTACTTATTCTCTTAGCGTGAATAACAATTTCCTGCTTTACATCTCCGTGGTAGTACTTGTAACTACGTTAGTACGAAGTACAGACATATTGATTTATTCAATAAAAGTTTCTTCGAATTTAACTGACATATTTACTTTACATGTATACGTGTTTTCACCTTACAAATGGGAAGTTACTGCAAATACTGATGTAGACCTCGAACAATTTTCCAGGGAGTCAGAGAATATTTACAACAATTTACCATACGGGTAATAATTCTTACCCAGCTTTTGAGAAAAATAGTGTTTATCATATTGCTGTCTAATTTAGTAATCTCTGATCATATAAATTTAATTTCACTTGCTTGAAAAGTTTGACCACTAAAACAATTTGTCCCTTTCCTTATGAGTCAATACGATTAATGCAGCCAATATCAACTCTTAGAATTAAAATTGTATCATGTAAAATTATGGAAATTAACCTGTGAGAGTAATTAAATATACTTTTTTATTCTAACTCTGAATAAATTAACAATTCACTTTCAAAATGGGGCTTTGTGAAGATTAGTAATTTTAATCGTTGAGTTCATGAATCCATCTAAGCTAGAACACCATCGAAAACGCGAAGGACGTTCGTTTCATCCTAGTGTGGAACACCTCAGCAGTTCTCATCCATCATGAGCTCATTAGTGACTAGCTTCGAAAGGTAATTCTCGAAGTTCTAGTAGGAAGCCGTGACCAGAGTAGTTGAATCCGTGTAGGGTTTGAGATAGTTACCCATCGAGGAGAATGGAAGATGGTCGCGCAATATCGTGAATTAGTTGAAGTTAGACATTAACAGTGTTGGGTGCCGTCTCAGTGGTCTAGATGTTAGGAGTTCTCTCGTGAGCCCGAAGGTCTTGGATTCGATTCCCGTGTATGGGGTCGTGGATGAGCACTTCAGAGGAGTCCCATACTAGGACGAACGACCGTCCAGTACCTCTAGGTTTCCAATGGTGGTCTAGCTAAGATCGATTCATGAATTCAACTGTTAAAATTTCTATTTACTAATGTATCTCCCACCAACACTCATCTATAATCTCGCATTCCGTTTAGACAGACAGCGGTTAATTCATGATAATATTTAAAAATAAGATTCCTGCTGCTTTTTGCCACTTTTATAGAGTCGTCGGTTTTAAGCAATAATGCTTCAACAAAATATGTTCTTATCGACCTACTAGTGTTTTTCATATGTCTTCTATCTTACGTCACGAAAGCCCAATTTAGTTTGAATAACTAAAATATTCGGTGATAATCTGAGGGCGTATTTTTTTGTAACAAATTTCCAAGGAGTTTAGTTGCGTAAAATGTTCATCTGTCAAAATGAAAATATTCTTGAAGAAAAAGTAAATACAATATCTGCAAAAATTAATATTCTTTAAGTGTATTGATTTAAAACGGTATAGAAATAATCCCACTATGGATATGAAACTTATAAAATCTTGACACTTGTATTATTGTGCCATATGTTTCGAATAGTTTGTTAAACTGAATTAATATTTTCAAGTTGATATTTTGTTAAGGGAGTGAAATTAATTTCCTGCACTTCGGGATGACGTCAAAGAAGATTTAAATCCTATCCCCTTTAGAAATCCAAAGCGATATTCTTGTCAGTCACTTATAGTCACAAACAGCCTAATTTTGCAACAAATAGCAGGGTTAAAAGCAAAAGTTAACATAATTTAAAGTTCAAACAAAACATCAAAAGAACAAGATCCACGAACGACTATATACATGAAGAATATCCTATGTCCAGTCACAAATAATAATAATTATACAGATAAAACAATCAAGTGATTTTGTAAATAGATGATAAAATCACGATAAAATTAATTTAACGAGTGAATTTATGTTAAGTGCTAAAGCTTTATCTACCAATGAATTTATTTCAAAACGGATTTAACTAAATCCTTGATGAAACTACTGACCATTTTGTTTTTGCTTGTATAGTGAGATCATGTGTACTACAAGAAAGCTCCTTTTAATTATCACCTGAACCTCCCTCATATATAATTGAGTCAGTGAATACTGTCTTTTCTTGTGGTTTGAACTTTAGTTTTCTGTTTCTTTTCGAACTTTCATCTCAACTACAAATTAGTAGCATTCGTTTCAGTCAGGGGTTCAGTGACGGAAGGAATTATTTAGAATAGTATATTTCATTTTGATACTTCTGAGTATAGTTCCAGAATATGCACAAAACTGAGTAGAGGAAAACTTTTTAATGAAGGTGATAATTTTTGTGTTCATATATCTGACCAACTTAGGTCAAATAAGTTAACTTTACCTGAGTGCCAAAGTAATGTATCGAAAAGTTGACATTAAAAACTTCTGAATTCATCTAGGACTACACAGATGCTTGTATATTATTTTGCACGAAGTTGATAGAATTCTGTTCTAATGTTCTAATGCTGATATAATTTCTAATTTCAAAACAGGAAGATATTACAGACTGTAAGAAAGTTTGACATAGGTAACAGATCATTTGACGAAACGGTAAACCGGTATTTATACGAGAGGCTAAAACGATGCTTTAGGAAATTTTGGTTATAACAAGCCAGTGAATTACAAAAAATACTGGTCGATGTAGAACCCTGCAGATATTGTGTATGGCGTTTACATGAAGCAAGACTATTACCTATCCTACTGTACACTATTTCCGTGAATTTAACTTATTTTAATGATTTATGCTTCAAAATTGCCATTTACTAGACTATCCATAGAGAAAGGAAATCTATGCTGTTTCATAAAAGAAGTTTGATGGTTTACATTATTTCGTATTAATTTCCTCAGAAGGGGATTTGTGGAGATTTTAGTAATTTTATTGATTGAAATCATGAGTCAACCAAAGCTAACCACCATGGAAAACATGGAAGCACTGACGGTCGTTTCGTCCTAGTATGGGACTCCTCAGAAGTGCGCATCCACCATCCCGCCCCCCACGAGATTCGAATTCAGGACCTATCAGTCTTGCCGTGACCAGTGGGATTCAACAGTTCTGTTGTGAGATATCGACTCACTGAAGACAATGGTGTACGAAGGCGCAATTTCGTGGATTGGTTGAAGTTAGACATTAACACCGTCGGATGCCGGCCTAGCAGTCTAGTTGTCAAGCGCTCGCGTGCGAGACTGATAGGTCCTGGGTTCGAATCTCGCGGGGTGCGGGATCGTTTGTGCGCACTGCTGATGAGTCCGATACTAGAACGAAAAAGCCGTGCAGTGCTTCCAGGTTTCCCGTGGTGGTCTAGCTTCAATTGACTCAAGATTTCAACTACTGAAATATATTTCCTCTTTATTGTTCAACTTTTTTTAAACCGATATTTGAAGGATATAACACAGCAAAAGGTTGGTCTGCTGAAAATAAACGAAAAATTAATAACATTTATAGAAACGAATATTTTAGTCTACAGCGCTCATTAAATGTATATCAAAGAGAATAATTTACTTTCATTCAGTATAAACACACCTTAGTTGTAAATACAAGGAACAAATGTTTTTTTTTAATATACTTTTTTATTAACTAAACATACTGGATACGAGAAACAAGGTCAAGGTAATTTGAGTGAACTAAAAGCACTTGTCATGTGAAATTAAATATAATGGATTGATTGACCTTAAGCATAATCTGTAAATCAATACCGGATGTATAATTATATTTGTTAACTGATTTAGTTATGCTACGTCACGGTGAATGTGGAAATATAATGATCAAAATCATTAACACAAATGAAATTTTTAGGAAATTTCTTTAGACATCGATATGTAGACAGTTAAGCCTGGGTTGGGATCATAGTTATATATATAACTCGAATAAAATTATCTGAATAATCAATGGGCTACGTTTGTGCTAAAATTCTTATTGTGTAAAGAAATCCATGTAGGAATGTCTCATTATTAAATAAAAGTTTGAATCATGTTATAGAATTTGTAGTGAATTAAAAGCATCGAGTAAATGAAATAATTTTAGCTTAGCTCCAATAACTTTGACAGGATTGACAAACTTATTTAAATGGACTATCGATCAGAATGTCTGACAGTTATGGGAGAGGAATTAAAGATACGATTATTTAGAGTCAGTAGTTATAGTGTGGTTATAGATGCAGGAATATGAGTCATAAAAATGTGCCCAGAAGATATAATGAAGGAGGAACTTTGCCCACTGTAAGCTAGTTTTGTGTGCAAATGACCAATCTTTACGTTTTATGGAGATAAAGACCCAGCAAATCAGGTGTCACTTAAACAGCATCAATATAACGTAGACAAAAACGTATATGAACTTGGAATACTTGGTTGATCTAAGCAAACCTTGAATAAACGCTTGATAATTCACTGAGATAAGCGATCTATACGTTCGCATCTCAAGTAACGTTCACAATCCATTCACAGGCGTACTTCGATATAAAAAAATGAATTTATTGATTTGTTCACTGTAAAGAGACTAGTCTACTTAGTTTATAGAGGCCAGTGTATATTCCATTCATTTTGAGAACGTTTCCCGATTTTTTCAAGAATATTTGACAGTATGGCTCAGCAAGTAAAAACCGAAGACTATAAAGTCACACAGAAATGTTACCATTTAGAGTTCTTGAGTTCGGTTTGTTATATCACTATTTCCATTTAACACACTTAAACGATGTACTTATTTTCCAAACCATTTATTTACTCGAAAAATCGCACTAGATTCCCTTACTGCATGATTTTAGAAATTTATAGCTGGACTTATCATTCACTGGTCAGCTTATTTTCCGAGAAACATTGTTTCCAATCCGCTAATTTGACACTTAAAATTACGTGGTACTATGGTGCGTGCTACTTATATTGATATAGGTAGTATATGACGCGAGTCAGGAATGTAATGTCTGGCAGCAGAAGATGGGTGAAGATCAAGAAAGCAAGTGTGGGAATAGAATGCAATTTGTATGAAAATGCAAGGGCAATGAAATCTGAGGCACTTTGAGACAATTGGTGGACATTTGCTTATATGTGTTGTTCTAATTTTCACATTGGGAATCCTTAATATTTTGCAAATTAACAATTTAATATATGGTTCTCAGATTTGATTGAAATACTCTGTAATTTTGTGCTAAATACATTCGGTTGTCCCCACCCGTGTTTTGTTCACTACACTAATAAAGAAATTTCATATGAAACTAACTATTTCATAATAAAGCTATCACAGCTTCTGAAAATCAAATGATGAATTTTATCTGCGAATAGACATTGTACTACTTACTAAGTTTTAAGTACTATAATTCTATATTTAAATCATTTCACTAGTAAAACGTTCCAAAAAGGGGGAAATAAAAGTCAGTTTATTCATACGGTTAAGAATTTATTTATTAGTGGAAAATGATTTCTTCATTTCATTAGCAAAATTGGAATATTGTTTTTTTACAATAAAAATTTTCATAAAAAAACAGGAGAAAGAAGTGGTTGAGTGATCAAATAGGTCGATCTATTCTAGAATTTTCTGAATGGTGAGCAACATTTATAGGGAGAAGTTCACTTTTCTCAATTTTTGATTTGGTACCACCATGTTGACAAATGGAATCCCCTCTTGAAAATAAATTCTGAATTTCACTCTTCGAATTCTCGTTTAAATAAGGCGTCATGAGTATGTTTATAATTAAGGTTGAGGGAAGAAAAATAGAATTTCTATCTATTCACAGCCAACAGAATAAAATTTAATTGTCTGCTTTGATCCATATAATGATTAAATGCCAATATTCACAAATATACAAGTCTAGGCTACAGTGTGTTTCACATTTCCCCTTAATTACTCTCTTCTGGATGTATTCCACTTGTCAAACATTCCTGTTTATGATTTTGTGTTTCAATTCGTTCACATTCCTCCAGAATGATTGTAGTTAATTAAAAAAGTATACGATATCTATCCATTAAAAAATTGTTCGAACATTGGCATGAATTTTAATGTTGTTATCAGCAGTTGTCCTATTAGAATATTAAAGACATCACTTACATTTGTAAAATCTTTAGTATTCAGTATATGTTTCCTTCAAACATCCCATCTATGTATTTCTGTGAATTTACAATGATGTGTCAGTAATATAGTACAACTGAATAAATTGTAAACAAGAGACACAGGTGATGTAAGTACTAGAAAAAAGTTACGTTTAGTATCATACTTCTTGAGAAAAAGCAACACAGTCGCACTAATAAAATAAACAAAGAAAATAGGGAAACCAATAAAATGATTCAATAAGTTTATTTTTCTAATGTATTGAATCCATTTGAATTTGAAAAGAAAAGAAGAAGGTAAAATTATGAGTTTGTCGACTGGGTTTTAATGATAATGCCTTTGAGATTTTGTTCGATGCTTTATCACGAGAAAATACCTGTTTTATTTTCATCTTTCGGGATTTTTCTTTTGGCGGAGACTGAACATTTTAAGAGTAGAAGATGAAAAAACAAACAAAAAGGATACCCATTAAGGCTATCTGGAATTGTACAAATAACAGTAAACAGTAACAATGTCCAAATCAAATTAGTTCTAAATATCACCACAAATAATTTGAACATTTTTTCATATTTACAGACCATCTTTAAGAAAGATATGTGGCATATAATCCCACATTAGTAAGACTCAATTCTTTGCTTAAAAGTGGTGTCATATATAGATAAAATAGTAAACCTTTGATAAGATTGTTCACATGGCACGTATTATTCTCGATAGTAAAGTAATATATGATCATCCCTTTTAAAATATAATTCTTAGTGCAAGTAACAGTAGCATTAGTAGTTCTCGAGATGTGGGGTATTGATTACAGCATTCCATTAGCAATCATTTTGTTTATACTCACTTCCATCTTTTCAAATTTAACTAGTCACATAACATTATTGATTGCAAAAAATGTGTAACTCAGTGTCAATTAAAGATATCTGTACATGACAACCGAATTCCTTTTTTCATTTGATTTATACTAGATATGATAATTGTTATTATTTTAAATCTTTTCATTTGAGATTCATAAAGAAACAATTAAAGTAAACACGTCAAAAATTTTGTCAACTAAATGAATGCAAACGTTTTTTAGACAGGTGAGTCAAAAATTCAGTCTAGCGTTCACTATTGTAAACGAATTACATGTTTGTCGTTTGTCCCTTTGATTCTTGAGTGACTATTTTTATGTTATACATAGTTTATATTCACACTACAATGCTATAGATCAGTTGAATAATAGTAGGTTTTGGGCCAGTCACAATAAGTTTATAGTTCTTATTCTACTGAAGCATAAATTTCTGTCAATCGATTGGGGATTACCAACATGTACACAGCCATGTATCACAAAATATTTCGAAGGAAAACAGTAATTGAGTACTAAATTGACAAAGATCTATGATCAAAGTAACAAATAAGATTATGTTTTAATTCTTAGTGTATGCAACAATATTTCCAGGAACTGAAAATGTTAATAAAAATATAATTACAAATATGTCCCATTTGTGTTTAGTAAACGTTTAGAGGAATCTACACTTAGCTCATTAAACTGTGTTATTAAAATTTTCAACTAGTCTTCTAATTTAGCTAGGTATCTTTTTGAAGTTTGCAATAGGCCACTCTGTACTGTTAGCATTTTAGGATGACCGCTAAAGCTACTACATACAACTTAAAAAAGTCATTATTAAGTTGAAGTTGAAATTAATGGAATCCAAAATTATCCAATGTATTTTAAGAAGTGATTAATCTTTACAACTATTTATTTAGCACTTCTAAATTAAGCTTTGCAAGTTACGTATAACGTCTTACCTAAGGTTTATTAAAGGAATGAAAACGTGGAGGTAGTCTATTTATACAAGAGAAAAGATTGCTTCGACGTTTTCAATGTATGTATAAATTAATATGTAGGACACGCCAGTAAATCTATGTGTTCAGTTGTGAATGTAATTATTATGCAATCAAATATACATAACTCCACCATTAACACTTCTACGGTTACTGCCGGTCCCAATCCCGAGTAAATGGTAAGGGTTGGGCATGGGGTCAGCAACTACATCCCGTAGAATACAACCTATCCAAAAAAAACGGTAATCAAAACAAACAGTCTAAACCATTTGAGTTCTTCCCTTCGAGTTGAACTATGTCCATTCAACAGAATTATGACGCCTCATCGTGAAAGCTAAGATTCTTTGGAAGTCACGAGGCCGATGCCACCTCTAACAACCACAGCAACAATTAATGTAGGTACATGGAATATTCGGAAAATGTGGGAGACCGAGAGGACCAACCAAATAGTTACGGAAATGACGAGATGCAACTTGGTGGTGCTCCAAACCAGTGAAAAACAGAGTCAAGCTGGACAGAAAAGACTAGCTTCGGTAGTGATGCTGTTGTACTGTGATGACGAGAAAAATTATCCTACGAACACACAGAGATCTGAATTGATGCTGTCCAAAAGAGCACAAAAACACTTATAGGATGAGAATCTCATGGATTCAGAATCATTAAAGCAATGAAGGAGGGAATCATAATGAATGTTATCCAATGTTATGCACCCACCAATTATAGCAACGACGACGATAAAGGTCAGTTTTATGAGAGGCTGAGATCCATTTTAGAGCAGTGCCTAGGAAAGAACCTGATTATCTTGATGGGAGACCTAAACGTCTAAATCGGAATGGACAACACATGGAGAGAGGAACGAGAATGGCAAGAGATTTTCAAATTTATGTACCTGTCACAAAATAGTTACAGGCGGCACGGCATTTTCTCACAAACGCATGCACGAAGCTACTTGGGTTTCACTGGACCGAATTACACAGAACCAGATTGATCATATTTGCATCAGTAAAAAATTCAAAAGGCCAATGGAGGACATGAGAACCAAGAGAGGAGCTGATATAGCTTCAGATCATCACCTGATGGTTGTCAAGATGAAACTGAAACCAAAGAAACACTGGACAAGTTGACAAACAGCATTACATAGGTTTGATACATTCTTCCTTCCAGATACTAACAAACTCAACAAATTCAAGACAACTCTCAACAACAGATTCTAAGCTCTACAAAATCGACTGAAAGAAGAGGAAACTACTATGTAGAGAAACTGAAAAGGGATCAACTAAGCATTAACGTGAACGTGTCAGGAGGTGCTGGGCCGCAACAAACACCATCATAAGGAATGGGTTGCTATCGAAACCATGGACAGGATTCAAGAAGGAAAGAGCACGACGACAGTAATCAACAACAGCCGAACAAGAACAGAGAAACTCAAGTACGCATTAACATATACAAGGGAAAAGCAAGATCTTCAAATAGAACACGTGGAACACCAACCCAATGAAACTTGGTGGAGATGCTTTGGAAGATGTGAAAAATTGCACGTACCTGGACAGCACCATAATCAATGTGCAAGCAGGATCTGATGCATACGTAAAAGCGATGATTGGCAACGCAAGGGCCGCATTCCGACAATTGAAGAATATATGGAACTCGAAACAACTGTCTGTAAGGCAACATCAAAGTCAGAATCTTCAATAAGTACATCAAGACGGCTCTACTGTACGGAGCTAAAACTTGAAAAACTACCACAACCACCATCAAAAACGCACAAATACCTTCAAAATCGTTTACACAAGATACTAAATGTCCGTTGATCGGATATCGTTAGCGACAGCTTACTGTGGTAGAGAACAAACCAGCTGACTTGGAATTCTGGAGGGTAATGGAAAAGAGGAAGACAAAAGAACTCACTGCGCTGAGAACTAGAAGCAGATATGAGAAGGATGAATAGCAATTGGAAAGGATTGCCCAGAATAGAGTTGGATCGCGAATGCTGGCGGGCCACGCTCCTCCATGAAAGGTAACAGGCGTAAGTAATTATTTATAATTTGGATAGTCGGAAATTTTCATGGAAATTCCGTTGTAAATTTGGTATAATTTTAGAAAAATATAACATGACCGATATTGTAAATGCTTAGAATGTGTTTCTTGAGAAAGATATTTTAATCCGTAAATCATTTGGACACCAAATGTTCATGTATAAATAATTATGTTTTATAATTATAAATGAATGAAACAAATAATTTAAAGTATGTGAATTAGTTGAGAATTATTATAATAACAAGTACATAACATGTAGATGACTGGAATGTTTAAAAAAAGTATTCGAGTATGATGATGTTGTTATTCAGTACAAATCTATTTTAATAAAGTATGTTTTCAATTAGTAAAGTTTATTTAATACTTGAAGGAAACTTATGTCAATTTTCTTCTGAAAAGAAATAGATGTAACTTAAGATGTTTTGGAAATTAATTTTTTTCCATTTTCAGTTGTCATTTAGAGCGGTGTTATTATTGTAAATTCGATATGTTGATTCGAATTAAAATGATTTATTGTAATCGGTAAATAAGTCATATATTAAATAACTTATTAGCAAAATTCCTAACTAGAGTACGAAGCAATAAGAATTTGAATTTTGAGAAAGCATCCAATACACAGAGTTTGTAGATTCATAATGTTATTTGTTTAAAATAAGCAAGAGATGTTAGCTCTGTATTTTACATCCTTTATCCTCTATTTATTAACAATAAAATCTAATTTCAATGGTTGAGATCATGAGTCAATTTAAGCTAGACAACCATGGAAAACCTGAAAGCACTGGACGGCCGGTCCGTCTTATTGTGGGACTCCTCGACAGTGCTCATCCACGACCTCGCCTCAGGATATTCAAACCAGGATCTACCAGTCTCGCTCGCGAGTACTTAACCACTAGAACACTGATCTGGCATCCCATGGTGTTAATGTCTAACTTCAATCAATCCATGTATTGTGACTTGACAAGTTCGGCTATAAGGATGAAGTAACTCTCAAGGTACAGGCTAGTGATCATGGACAGACTGAATCTGGAAATATCGGTGATTGGATTCTTGCACAGTAGCCTTAAACTATCACATTCACTGAGAAGCTTAAGATTTTTGATTTCGATCCAATGAATGAAGTCAATTTAAATATTTGAGAAGGTTCAATTAAATACGATATAACTATCTAATATCGTGTAGTTGTCGGTGGTGATTTTAAATCAGTCATCGGTAAAGACTTTTCAGACTAAACAAATCTTCATATACGACATCACTAAAGGAGTTATATAATTATTTTGAAATGCTTCTTAGAATAGTATACCGTTAGCAGCAAAATCCATGAGGGGTTTTTCATCCTACTCGGAAATCATTAGTTGGATGTGTTATCTGTAGTTCCAGACTCTAACAGATTGCTAAAATTTCTATTCCACTGGGTCAAAACCGACGTAAGCTCGTGTTTTACACTATTTTCATAAACATCAAATAGAGAGTAGGCTTTTGAGTCTGACATTTCATATATCTATCACCTACCTTTGTTGCAGAATATTTTCTTTTCTTAGTAGATAACTTCGCTTGATTTTCATTTTGACACCATATATAACCTGGTTGAAGTATCCATATTTGTTCATCAGATTCTTTTCTATTAATAGCTAATTCATTATATACATTATGTACATTATTATTTGTATTATGAACAGACTTTATGGATATTTTAGTATTAGTATCATTAATATGATCATTATTAGTAAGTTGACTTAAATGTTTATCACTATTCTGTACAACATTTGATGAAACCAAGTAATCTTTATTTGTATTACTACTAATTTTATTATCTTTCATTAACGTAATATCTGTTTGAGAATCCATAAACTCATTTGATTCGTTTAAAGTACATACTGGTGACAGTTCATCATTTTCTAATATTTCTTGTACCGTTGATGTAGTTTGTGAATGAGGATATGAATTATTGGTTCTTTCAAAATTCTCTTTGCCATGTAATAAATAGTTTCTTCTTTGTTTTTGATCAACTACTTTATTATGTTCATCTTGTTCATTTATTTCACTTTCTTCTTCTAGGATATTTGTTTTGTGCTTGTTTATATTCAAAGCTTTTTTAAATATATTTGGTAATGTTCTTAAAAAGTGGTGATGACCTTTAGAAGTATTAGCAAAGTAATAATTTGATATGGTTTCATTCAATGTATCATCTGATGTATGCCTTAAAAATATCGACGTTGATGACCTGAAAAGAATTCAAAGTACAAAAGTACTATATAGAGAATAGACAAAAAAGATAATCGATTAAATAAGTTTCATACACATATTTCTTTTATAATCTTAAAGAGAGCAAGAATAAAGATTGATGCAGAATAATATAAATTCATTTTATTTCGTTAGGTTCTCATCAGTTGCTTATAACTTATAATATTTAAAATCAACGTTACTACAAATATTGACATACTTAAAAATACGAGGGTAATTAGAGATGAATATGCGTATCATGATGATGCTAAAACTTTCCAACGAAACTCATCCAAGTATCCAGTTTATCATGGAACATGAAAATAAAAAAACAAATCCCGTTTTCTTGATGTTGCAATGAAAAGAAGTAAGGATGGCACAGTTCAACGTTCAGTTTATAAGAAAGACATGAAATGGGATTTATCTCACTTTCAATAGCTTTTGTCCAATCAGTTACAAAAAGGCACTTGTTAAAACACTGTTTCACAGAACAGAAAGAATATGTACTGCCAATACAATAGAAGAGAAAGTAATGAATGTTAAAAAATGTAGAGAATAATTGGTACCTACTGAAATTTATTGAGAAATATGGAAAACCTGAACACAAAAAACCCTAAAAACTCAAGTAAATAAAAAACCTATTTTTATTCATCTTAAATTCAAAGGTGATGATGTCACAGGCTGAATCAATATGAGACTAAAAACTGCATTGATAATAACTTATCTTGCAGCTAAACTGACTGTCCTGTTCAAACAACATGTTCTTTAACACAGTCAAAGGTCGATAGATATCCCTTCCAGGTTACCACCAAATGTGTATACAAATTTAAATGTATCTGTTAATTCAGGTACGTTGGTAGAATAGAAAAGAGAGCTTAAGTCCGATCCAAAGAACATATTCAGAAAAGTTTAAGGTCAAATGAATTAAAAATATTCATCAGTGCCATCGGATGACATTTCTTTGACACAAGACATCAAGTCGATACACTGAAGTCTTTCAAGGTGATTAACAAAGAATCAAACTCTAATCTTTGAAGTTTGCCGAAACGATTGCGATCAAACATCTGAAACCAGATCTAAGTATCAAAAAGAGGCAGTAATTACTCTTTATTTGTCCTGGTAATATTACACCCCTTCTAATTTAATACGTCATTCACTACTTCACCTCTTTCTGAAGTTTGATTACATCATTGTCATTCTTCTTCGATTTATAACTGACTGACTTCAATTCATATTTTTCTTTGATAGTTTTAATCTGTTTTCGGTTGCTTCGTTACACAATCATCTAATGTTTGTTAACTCCATGAGTTCTAATCACTATTTCAATGTTCTGGAACTTTCGCTCCCAAAATTTATTTATACGAAACAAAATTTTCTATGACCTTATTAACTCCATTAGAATCTTCGCTACATAATGATACACATATTCATCTCTAATTACCCTCGTATTTATAAGTATGTCAATATCTGTATTAACGTTGATTTTAAATACTATAGGTTGTAAGCAGCCGATGAGAACCTAACGAAATAAAATGAATTTATATCATTCTTCATCATTATTCGTTCTTGTTCTCCTTAAGATTAAATAAATCATCCTTCCGAAATAAATAACGAAAGTTTACAACAAAGTTCGTTACTTTATAGTTCTTATAGTCAAATTTATAAATGAAAAGAAATACGAGAATGTTACTGGCTAACAATCATTACAGAAAAACCTTGACTGATTTTTTTTATATAGAAGTCAGGCTTCAAATTATTTGCAAACAGATAAAGGATAACCCATGGTCTTCAAGGGTTTTAAGAAAATGCTTACAATAACTTTTGATTTTGTTTCAATGAATTATTATTAGTATGTATTACGGCGCGTAGATTACAAAGAAATTACAATAAGCTGTACGTAGCAGAATTATGGACTTCAAATAGATGAGAAGTCTACTACATAGATAAACGTATTTACAACTGAGCATTCAATAAAAATGAACAATCGGTGGAAGATTATAGGTGAAATGAGTTAATTCATCAATATAGCAATGAAAATGATAGAGTAGTGAAAAATAATTCGACCACAAGTTTCAGTATTAATAGATGAAGCAAATGCAAATGAACAGTTAATGAATCGGTTGTTCAACGTCGTTTTTTGATACTTTTTTCAATTCATTGCAAGTCCTTTACATGTTTTTTTAAATGACAGTGGCAATAAATAAATATACTAGGCTAGTTTACATTTTTAGGGTTCTGTAATTCTGTAGATCATTCGGCTAATTAAAAACAATTTGGTGTATAAAAAATGAGAAAAACTAAAAGGATGGTGTATATAGCATATATATAGTATATAGCATATATATAGTATATAGCACCGATCGGAAGTGAAAATCCTGGCAGCAAAAGGCTAAGAAGATCGGATTGAAGAGAATAGGGATAAAAATAGAAAGGAATTGCGAATAGGAAGAATCATACGGAATATAAAAGACTAATGATAGAAATTTACAAATGAAGTATCCAATGTATAGTTTTCAGATTTTACGAAGACATTCTGTAATTCTATGTTAAAACGTAATCTGTTTTCCTATCTGTATTTCATGCATTACAATATATGTAGCTAGAGCAAATATTATTTCTCAAATTAATACATGCTTGTATTATATACCAGACATTGTGAATACAATAAAACAACAAATGATCATACAAATGCAATGAACATAAAATATTTCTATATTTTGATTAATCTATCAACAACTAAATATTAAGAATAAAAATGATGTTATATGAAGTATGGTTCACCTTACAATTGACTATTAAATAACATTAATGTTTTTCATTCTAAATAAAAAAGAAAATATAGACTAATTGGTGAATAAATTATTTCCTTACTATTCACAAGTGAATAGTTTCCACTCTATTTCAATATTCACGTGATGAAACTAGTTACAGAATTCTACGCTATTGATTGCTTTCTTGAATTATTCTAAAATTACTCTTTCATTAGTTATTTTTGATTAGAGATTTATTTTCTATTTTGTTTTTCGTAACTTTCTTTTCTAATGAACACGTAAACATTGATCAGACATTTTTATTATTTCCAGTTTTTTTATTTATTTATCATTAAATTTATACCAGTTTATTATGTAATGAAAGAATCATCTTGTCTGTCATATTAAACTAACGAAGTATGTAATAAAAGAAAAGTATGTTTTCACAGTTTATCTGAAATTCTTGTTTTTTGTTTTGTGTACCCTTATTTTGCATCATAAAAGTGTTGTATGAAGAATAGTTTGTCAATCACTATGAAAACAATATTGTAATTTGATTAGATTAACCCAGTTACTTTGTCGTATCATTTTAGGGGAGTGATATAGTAAAATCAATCGTCAAGATCGATATTTGTACACATTTACTGACAATATGTTCTGTTATTCCTGACGCATGTATAAAAGAGGTATTCAAAGAAAAATCTTTTATGTTCTACATGAAACAGAAAATTGTAAAAGACTCTAGGTTGAATAAGAATTTATTGGTGTATACATTCACAAAGTCATTACTTGGTGAGGTATGCGTGTCAATCAAAATGCTGTAGAGAGTTATGATGTTCAGTATGATAATTAAGAAATACATATTCTGATGAAACCTATGATGAGTCAAGTGTTGAATGTTGTTAAGTGGTCCATGGTACTATACTACAACATAAAAATCAGATATTTCAAGCTTTATGTAGTTACTGTTAAGGTATATGTGAACTGTAATTAGTCAGAATTAGGATTTATGAATTCTGAAGACATATATAAAGGTTATCAAAAATAACTATTTCATTTAGTCTTTGGAAATGACTGTAGACTAAGATATCTTATGAATTTACCTTAATTTTATCTTTCAGTTGGATAATCGTCAATCATCAACAAGTAATTTTAGTTTTGTTTTGGTTTTAATTACTTAATTATAAAAATCATTCATATCAAAGTGAAAATTATAGTCACACTCTTTGACAAATGAAATTTGATTTATTAAAGAAAAGTATTCTTGGCTTTTCTCATACTTGTCATAAATCCTTATCCATTATCATCTTTTACTTATTAAAACACTCATACATTTTTTAATTACTATTTACACTTTTTCATTATCATGTAGTCCACTTTCACCTAGTTTTCAAAAGAAAATGCCTGTGTATAATTGCATTTCTTGATTATTTCAAACATCAAAAGTCTGTTATTCAGCGTTTACTAAATAAAAGAATGATTTGCATACTTAGATGAATTTATACTTAAATAAGACAGAACATTGAAATAAGTATAGGCACAGGATGCACATATGCCAACAAGAGACTGATTAATTGCAGTCCTAAACAACAATGGGAAGATACAAGCAAACAATACCAAGTAAATTTGGACTTCACCCCATTGCACAAGCAGGTGATTATCAGGACTCAATAGCTAAGTGGACAACGCGACAGCGTTTGCAGCGAACGACACTGGGTTCGAGTCACGGAGTCAATATCAACTCTGAGATGCGGGTAAATCTAACTGACGAGTCTCAAGTAGGACGAAACGCGCATCCTGGATTCCACCGCTATCCATCATTGATCTTTGCTTATAAAGCTTGTAACTTAAGGCAATATCAAATGCACAAATGTCAACAAGAGACTGATCAATTACTGTTCCTATACAACAACGAGAAGATACAAACAAACAATACCAAGTGAATTTAAGTACAACTTTCGTCTGAAATTTCATTTCTCTTTTTAATCTGAAAAGAAGAATGTCGGTTTTTGATTGATTTAACATTGTACATATTTAAGGATATATTTTAGTTCTACCCAAATGGTTAAATACAACTAGCATAGAGCTTCGAGTTTATCTTAGAGTACAACAACACTGATTTAGAAGTATATTTAAGAATTGAAAAAATTAATGTTCAACTTGTATTTTAAGATGTGACATTTAGTTTGCTCAAACTATTTAAAATAGGTCGTAGGCAAAATTTGTAACTAATATCCTGATTAGAGTAGCTAAAAACATTTCAAACTAACTCAACTATCTATCCATTAATTAGAAAGAATGACCTACTTCTGACCAGATTAGCCAAAAGTCAACTTGTTTATATTTACAATAATTCACTATAAGTTATCTAAATCTTGAAATTTCTATCATATGTGTTGGCCTTAGGTTAAAAATTCTGCTTCATTCTATCTCTGATGTTGATAAAAATTATGGTAACGAAATGGATACAACTCAAACTCACAAAATAAGTATTTATGTTAATTAGATGCAACTTCATGTGTTAAAAAGACAAGCAATTAAGAGTAGGTTAATTAACCTTACTACTCATTTCTTAATATACGAGTTTTCTTATAGATATCATCCTGTCATTATTTTAAAATTTTATGATTTTTACTTCAAGAAGATGGAAATTCGTCAATTTTTAACCATAAAATATCAAGTTTCATCTAAAAGAAATGAAATTTTGTAATTAATTATAGAGCAAATTTTACTTATATTTTCAAGTTGATTTGTTTATATAACATTTCAAAATGGGTAATGGGTTTAACAATGACTAAATTCACGATCTAAACAAAATATCCTCTACATAAAGTCAGGAATATTCTAACTATTTAGTAAATATATTAGCATATGTAATTACATTCTTTATTTAGAATTAAATTCGGTTAAAATGTTTCAAAATATTGGAAAAAAAGATTTGGATTTATACATTAAGTGAAGTATAAAACGATGAATACGTGGATTGATTTAGAATACATAACCAACTGAACATCCAGTTCATTCCCTAATGTTTATTGACAAATCCATATTGCATATTCCCTTATTATTTTATTCAGGTGTAAAAAGTATATTGTTGAATTTAATCGATTTTATCAACGATGAGATTCAGTTACATCCGGCTGACGAGTTTCAAACAGGACAAAACGAGCGTTCTGAACTTCACTGCTAGCCACTATCCATCTTTGCTTATAAAGCGTGTGACTTAAGGCAATATTGAGGTAATACGCACAGAAAAATAAACTGTAAACTAATACATAATTTCAGGTTACTAAACATTTATTCAGATACATTTTGTGATTTCATTAAGACAAAAGATACTTTTTTCTTAGTGTTAACTTTTATAGCTTAAAAGTCGTCAATTTCATAGAGTATTGATTGTAGTTAGCAAATGTATTCTTGAATAGGCTAAACGATTATAACAGTTCATTGTTTTTTATAGCTTGTAAAAGATTCTACAGTTTTGCTACAATCACTTATTAAAAATACGGAGTTTTTTCTAACATTTTAGATGGGTTACCTAGTAGATAATTTCTAGGGTAAGATTTATTTACAGTAATTATATGTGATTGTGCATAAATGAGAATGATTTTTAAGCCATTTGTCATAAACTGAGATCTAACGATGAACTCATATCAAGAAACAAAATCTAGCACTTTTATAAATGTGCTGCTTAATGCAAAAACCAGAGAATGATATAGAAAAAAAGTGATCACAGCTTATTACTACTGTAGGTTCGGATTTGATAAAACATTATGCAATCAACTATTATCTCACCTAAGTGTTCGGTGTTATGAGTCACTATTGTTTAAAAGTTACTTTATTTAATGTTATGAAATGTCATACATATTGGAAGAAGTGGAACAAAATTTCAGTACCTGCTGGATTTCAAGTAATCCTTAGTATTTTTTTTAACTGTACTGTTTAAAGAAAACACACACTTTACCAATTTATAAAACTTTAATGTATTTTTCACTTACTTCTCTGCTTTTTCACACAGAATATCTGCATCATTGAGATACTTCATTGTTTGAAGACCTTTGGTTAATTTTGTCGTAGACTCACTTTGTAATAATAATGACTGAAATTGTTTTTCTTGAAGTGAACTCCAGTGTTCTTGTGGATTCAAGCTGAATGCACGTGGTCTTTTAAAAGTTTGTCAAAGTCTGAATTATCTTCATCTGTAGCCTGTATGATGCTAGGAGGTTTTATTTCATCAGAAATATGGTCGCGATCGCCATAAGAATAGTTTGTACTTTTTTCATAATTGTTACACATTTGTTGGTTGTGCAAACGTTTATTTCCAGGAAGTTGAATATGTACTAACCTTGGTACCGATTGACGTTGATATTTAGATAATACATTTAGAGATCCTGACTGCAGAAATCATAATAGTATATGAAGAAAGCATTTTAAAAAAACTCAACAAACATCTTGAATTTCATTGTATCGTAATGTCTTTATAATGATGGTCTATCAGTTGAGATTAACTTAATTTAATTGTCGTTTAATTACTCAAACTACTTTATTTTCTTATTTCAATTGAATGAGATCGTTTCAGTCAGCACTCACTTTAAAAAAAACCCTGGATAAAATAATGAAGGTAACTGTCTACCTGGTTAATAGTGAGGAAATTATGAAACAGTCAAATTCTTCCTCTTTGAGATCAGACTGAGATAATGGTTACTTTCAAACTAGTCCATGGAATTCAATACTATAATAGATTATGATATTTCAGAATTACACAATAGTTAGTAGTAGGTAAAAGATGACAAACAAACTATTCTCTGATAACAAAAAAGAATGAAGAGTATAATATAGCTTAGATCTACTACAGTATAAACCTGATTGTTATGTTATACTCTAATTACTGAATTTATGTGAAAATATGTCAGATAGCATTATAAAGAGTAACAAAATATTATGCATATCATTTAAATGCTTAATGTTATGTCATGTTCACAAACGTATTTTTTTCTAGGTAACTTACACCCCCTTTAGAATTTGGTATCTATATTTTAGTATTGCTCATATACTTTATATGGGGTCAATTATAATATCCATAGTTATGAGTATTAACAACTTTTTTTAAATTGAAATGAACTTTTATCAGGTAATAAAATGAATTAATCAATTGTCAAGGCAACTAAATAATACAATTCAGTGTATGTTAATGCAATCAATTAAATTAAATTCACCCACTAATAAGTAGTAAATCTATTATTTAAAAAAATATACAATATACAGAAATATTGTATTATAAAATTAATTAAAAGATTTAAACTAATGAATTTACCTGTTGTAATGTTGATTGTGTAAAATTTTGTGTACTAGAAAATTTACTATTACCATACTTTGATATAACATCTTGAACATGTGAAGGTGCACCAACAAGACCACCCATAAAACCTGTAGTTAATGCTGCAATAGATTTTAAGGCATTGTTTGTTTGTTCTTTTGTACATTTTTTATCTATAAATTAATTAAAATAGTAATTATAGGAAAAATATTTTTTTTAAAAAAAGTATATCTGCTTATATAATAACTAGATGATTAAGAGAGAGAGAGGGAAAAAATTGTTTAAATTAGCTTATTTCAATAATATCTGCTCTTGGATGAAAGGAAAACTACTTTTGCTTATTATATAATCTACAATAACTCTTTAATTTTAAAGGCGAACAGAAACGATATCAGATTCAATAAAACACTTTTAAATGTACTAGATTAAATGTATTCATTTGTCATTTCTGTACGGTAATTGAACCTTCAATTGTATATGACGTAATTGTAATATACTTACCAAATAATTATCGTTAATAGATAAGAGTAAAACGATATCACAGAAAGTAAATTAGTAAGTTGTTTTTGTTATAAAGAAAGAAATTGTTAATTAACCAGTAGAAATTTTATTTTGATCTCTTGATTTCATCTTTCTATTATTACAATAGTGACTTTAATGAAGGTCTTACATCTTGTTAAATTAGATACAAACCAATTCTGTGTAATACGCAGAATAAAATAACGCAAATTCAATTATCATATGTAATAGATTTTAATTAAAATCGAATTCTTTTAATCGATAGAAAATGAGATCACAAACTGAACTTGGATAGTGTTTTATAGCATAATTTGTTCTGTATGCTACAGGATGTTAAGATAGTGGAAACGATTTATAGCTCAGGTGAATAATTTTGATTGAATTATGTTCTCTAAGCTCCATAATCAAACCATTCAGTTGAGAGAACAAAACTCCGTCAATATGACACGGGATATATTATTTTGTTTAAAAAGTGATATTTTATCAACAGCGACAAAACAGGATATCTGATGAAATTATTTTATATAGTCTAAACGTCTTACTACTAAACGTTATTAGTGCTCAATTTTGTGAAGAAACAATCGTTGAGAAATAAGTTTATTGAAATGTAAGTATCCATTTTGGAAAATAACATGGATTTAAGCAACGTTGATTAGATAGTCTGTATTTAATTAATTATATCAGTTTTGTATTATCCGTACATAATTTATGTACGATTTTGTACGATTTATGTATGTATTTACTTGGAGAATTTTGAGAAAAGCTTTTGAACAAATGTATATAGGAGTCCCATACTAGGACGAAGCGGCCGTCCAGTGCTTCCAGGTTTTCCATGATGGTCTAGCTTCAATTGGCCCATGATTTCAACTATTGAAATTACTAAAATCTCCACAAAACCCCTCCTGATAATAATCGTCTACTCACTAGTAACTGACTTCAAAAGGCATTTTCTGGAGTTCAAGTGAGAAGCCATGACTGGTGGAGTTCAACCAGGTCTGTTGTGAGATATCAACTCACTGAAGACAATGGTGAACAGTAGAGTAACTTCGTGGATTGATTGAAGTTAGACAGTAACACCGTTGGATGCCGGCCGACTCAGTGCTCTAGTTGTTAAGCGCTCGCTTGCCAGACTGATACGTTCTTGGTTCGAATCTCGTGGGAGGTGGGATCGTGTATGCGCACTGCTGAGGAGTCCAATACTAGGACGAAACGGCCGGCCAGTGCATCCATGTTTTTCATGGTAGTCTAGCTCCAAATGACTCATGATGCCAACTATTGAAATACATAACCTCCAAAAAATGCAAGCAACGAAAGATCAGTACATCATTTAAATAATGAAGATGGTCATAATAAAATTAACAATAATATTAAGTAGATAAGATTATTTAGTATAGAATTTTTTCAAGATAAAATCTATAATCTTTTTGGAGCTCTTAACTTATGTTTATTTCAATAATTTTATTTATTGTCTATATTTTACAACCTTTGTCATAGCTGAAACCTAATAAAAACTTGTTGTTAGTAGTATCTTACTGCATTAATGGATTAAAAAGATGATAAAAATTTTATGAATGAACTTCTAGAACTCATAATCTTTCATTTATTCTACATACCTTCTCTAGTGTCTTACTTGCAGCTTAAAGCTAAGAATTATGTAAAGTATAAAATTGTTTTTCTACCAAATCAGGTGTAATGCTATTAGAATATCCTAACGATAAGAATCATTCAATTTATCATTAACTATAAATAAAGTAAAATTTTCATGTTTATGAACATGATGATATAGTTGCTGATAGTATTGCTCTTGTTAATGTATTTCATAACACAATGCTGTAAAACATTAGATAACATTTTAAGTTTGTCATATTTCTATCCTAAGTGATATTTTCTACACTGAAAGTTGTGAAATCAAGTAACAGGATGAACATTTACACATACTACATATACACAGATATGTATTACATTTTTCCAAAAACTACCTTTTCATAACTTTACAAAAAAACATGAAAAAGTACTGTTTTGTGATAAAAATCACAAAAGTCTCGCCTATCTACACATTTCTGGACAGCATACTAACTTGTGGTGAAATACTGATATATGTGTTAAAAATAAAAAAAACTCTTTTGTAAATCTATTTTCAACTTATCTGTCAAATGACAATAGACTAGTCAATGTGACAGTTATAGGTAATTATGCATACTGATATACACTTGCGTATGTTCATATCTATTGTCAGAGACTGGAAAAAGTGGTAAAAATAAATCATATCAAATACTGTAATAATTTTAAAATTGTTGAAGAAACTTCTAAAGAGTAATAATGTTTAGAAAAGTATGTACTGTTTCGCATCTTCTACTTAAATACTTTATTTAGTAAATGACGTAAAAAGATGTACTTGTCAAAACGAACTTAAATTAATCATGATTTGAACCATTTGAAATGTAAAAATATTTAGACCGTTTTGTTCAAATTACAAACAAAAGATATATATATATATGGTAGTATTAGTAGTATATATATATGACAAAAATAGAGAAACGTACATAATGGCTTGCATTTGCGTATGGTATCACTTGAAACTCCCATTTCTTTGAGTAAGTTTTCTAGAGCAAGTATATGTTTCTGTCGAGAAAAGGAAACAAATAATGACAGTTTATCATAATTTATCATCATTATCTTTGTATATCATTTAATTTGTCTACCGATAAGTGAGAAATAAATCAAGAGATTTTGTTGTTTGGTTTTCGTGCAGTCTCAGAAGTAGTAAAACATATCAGTGATTATATGGTTCATTATGAATGTCATTTATCTTCGACTACAATACTTAAGTTTAAATATTTTTAAATGGGTTTGAGCTACTTATATAGTATCAATCATCTGTTTAAATAGTGAGTTATAAATATCCACTAATAGGGCGTAATTTATTACACTGATTAAAATCATAAAATGAATCATATTAAATAAAGAGTACAGCCAAAAGTTAATCGTTTCAAAAATGAAACACCCAACAAATGTCATAATAATATTATCAACAACATAGTGAATCATTACAGGTCATCAGTATTAAAGTTCTCTTATCATTTGACATCTCACGTTAATTAGTTTGAGAAAAAACGTTTTTTTCTCGTATAGGGATATTTGCAGACTTTTTAAAATTAATTTATAACACAAACATTCCAGATATACATGATTTTTAAATCTAACAAAGTCTGAAAGCACCTTAAAGACATCAGTCTGTTTAGTTTCTTCGATAAGTATTTCTTGTAACGCAATCCATAGAAAAAAACAGTTTAAGTCTGTCAATTTGAGACAAAGGAACGGAATATATTGGTTTATGCATCATGTTTCACGATTCAATAAATAAGCACTTTATAAAACATTTTGCCAATATATATGTTTACTGATGTGAAGATATGTACGTGGGTAAATAAGCGAGCATTTGACTATTATCTCTTTTTGACAGTTTGAAGGATGGGTATAGATGGGTTAAAAGAAGGAAAAACTTTTAGTGTATGTTTCGATGATTACTTGAAATGCTGTAAACGATTAGAGTAAAAACACAATTGTTAGAAGAAATTTAGATGGTAAACTTTGTATAATGAGTGTTCTTTGTGTAATTGTCAACACTGTAATATCTTTAAGTTATGTTACAAAAGATATGAATGTTTTCGGTGAAATTACGAAATTAAGGATAGTTTAACTAAAGTTTAAGTCACGAATTCATCAAGTGGTTAGAAAATATAGGAAGTGATAACTGAATACGTATTAGTTAACTATTAAGTCTTGGTATCAATGTATAGATAATACAATTCGATCATGGTTGAGGTGTGCGTAATTAAAACTCTAAAGTTTTTTATTACATCAGTAGAGTCCAAGCCCAAATCGGAATAAATACTTTCAGGAATTATTGATCGATCATATCCGGAGTAGGTACTATACATTTGGAAAACATGGTCAATGTGAACTGATTGGCAACCTAATGCATAGTTAAAAGTCGATTTTAGTAAGTGATTCTATGATGCTTCTAACAATGGTTTAGTTTAAATAGTTAGTCATTAAAAAATCTCTTAATAAATATTTGATATATATTTGGTTGAATTAAAAGCAGGAAGTTTCCAACCTTATTCATCAACTATTAATAAAAACAGCCTCCAGGGATAAATTAAAGAAATAAGTATAGTCAGAACAATAATGGTGATCATATTCGAACAGTATGATAAGTTTATTGACAATAAATTAGTGTCACATTAAATAGGCTGATTAAAGAAAGAACTATTATAGTGATAGTAACATTACGAAATACATATTTCAGATTAGTTTTCATGGACAATTTAAAAGTCAATTATTTCATAAGCTTCGATTTTAGTAGAGTTTCGATATTGTTTGTTTGAATATTTTACTCGGTTAATGGGGATTATGAAACCTCTTGATCTTCCTGCTTGAAAGTAGTTTACTTAGAAATGAAGCTGAAAATAGCAACGTTTGCCGTTAACAGAATTAGTTCTTCTTACAAAGGGATTGTTTACCTATATTCCTACTCAACATTATATACTTATTATCAACTCAGTTTATTAAATTGCGATAACTGTCATTTGTAATCTAACAACAACATAATCAGGCGTTAATCGATATAAATTCTCTTGATCATTTTGAGGACCGCTGTATAATCCGCTGATTTCACCTTACACGAAACACTAGAACTTGAGTAATTTTTATGATTTGTTAACTCCATCTTTAATTCATCATCAAAGTATGGTTTAACTCTTTAATTCACTGAGTGAATAAATTTCCTTGTACAGCTTCACAAGCAGTCAAGTGTAACACGAATCAATGCGTGACTAGAAACAAGCAGTTAATCAGAGAAGATCGTCAAATGAACTTGATTAGTTTTGAACAGTGGGGTAATGTTAGCTGTCTGAAAACTAGGAGCTCTTTATATATTTAAATATAATTCTAGTCAGTAGTTATATGGAAATTGTAGATAAATTTTGATATCACTTTGCATGAACAGGGTATCTAAGAGATTCCCATTATGTCTTCAATCAATTAGCTGAGCGAATCTTTACAAAACTAATATGATCAATACTAGTTAACAGTTAATAAAATTTGTAAGAATAACGTACTGAAAACATTCATTCCATTAATTTTATTTCATTTATTCTTTCTATAAGTTCTTAGTTTTGAAACTATTACATAATACACATTTTTCATTACAGATTTTCCTACAAATCTTATTCAGAAAAAAATGGACAAGTTATGTCAGTGACTAGTTTATAGATTGCGGTACCATAAACACCTATATCTTTTATTAAAGGGAGTGAGAATAATAACATACGTATTTTATCATCGCATTTTATTTTACTTGATATATTATTCAAATATGATCAACTATTAGTTGCAATATGCTAATTGTGTAAAAAGAAAGTCATAACTGTGATATGTCCTGAAAACGTAACAATAAACAATAATAATAATAATAACAAGTTCTTACCAACAAAATGCTTAGGTACATACTAAACACATTTTGTTTTCCTAATTTTCAAAAGATTTATTCACTAGCAAATGAAAGTAATCAAATTAGTGTATTGTTTCTAGATAAACAATAATCTTGGAAACAATTAAGTGAAAAAAAATATGTAAAGTAGGAACATAGTAAATTACACATTATACATATATGTATATGCATACTTCCTTGGATAACTAAAGGGACATTTATAATAAGAGTAGATATTATGTATGGATTGATATCTTTCGATGAATTAATAGTTATATCTACTGAATACCAATAATTGATAATGTTTATTAGTTCTATTCTAAATGTGAAAAATAGTTAACTCTTACTATAATAAGTTTTTCATTCAAGAATGTAATCCTTCTAAGAAGGTTTCAGTTGTTACAGGTCTATAAAATGTTACCTGAGAAAATGGTCTTGAATTAGGTAATGGTGTGTAAAATATTATATTCATTTGATTAACAATTAACTTTGAATAAACCTGAAGAACTTTGGATTTAGGAAAATAGTCATTATTTCTTATATCGTTCGTTCTATAACAAATGTATTGTGTTTTTTTTAAAATTAAAAATATCCTTAGTTTATTTTATTTCATTCAGTGATAAAGAAAATAAATGGAAATTTGTTTTTAGAATAGATGGGAATAATTATGTTGAAATAAGCAACAATAATCTTCGTAACCAGTACTGATGCGTATAGATATACCACCGGTATTACTGAAAGACGTTGGCAGTGTAGTAATAAAGTTTACCTGGTAAATATACATAATATTTATAGATACCTGGTATAAATGCAAAGTGGTGTTCAATTTCATAGTAAGGTTGTGGTATATTAGAGGATTATCTATAGCTTGATAAAGAAGCGTGAAATAACAGAAAACGGACTAATTCCCATTTAATTTCAAGTTGTTGGTAAACATGCATAAAATAATCAGTTTCGCGTAATGCAATGATTTTTAATTATTTTGTTTGAGTTCTTTGGAATAGCATCATGTAGTGTTATTTCTTCTTTTCGCTTCACTATGGATACTCAAGATTATCTCTGTAAGTTCCAAGCTTACATCTAATTTAAATACCTGTAAATAAATAAAGCATTTATTGCGTTGATGTAATTTCGTGAATTGTGCCAAAATACAAATTTATTGTGAAACGATCTAAGTAAATCAAGTACCTGTCAGCTCCATGTTATGTCAACAAGTCATTTTAAATACTGGCTGTTTGATAAGTAGAAAGTTTGGCACGATGAAAGTTACGGGTTATTTCACACGTCTAAAAAAATGACTTAGTTTATTTTTATATTGGCAATACTTTAGAGAATTCTCGTCATGCAAAATATATGCTTTTCAAAAGTCTAAAGCAGTTAGTGCCTGTTATAAATTTCGATAATGTAATGAGAAGATGGAATTAATTTGAAAAGCGTGGTGTTTTTGGGTGATAAATTTAAATCAAACTTCGTATAAAATTTTTCATTAGTGAACTCGTTTGTTTATATGAAACTTCGTCATTAGAAAAGTCAGATCTCTTTTATGTGTAAAAAGACAAATTGTTCTAACCATAAATCTAGCAGGTATTCTTTGGCTCATTTCAACGTCCAGGGTGAAGTGACGAATTGTTTTTTCCTTTATACTACATTATTTTCATTTAGTTTCAATCATCAACTCGTTTTTTATGTAATTTTCATTTAGTTTACATTACAAAAACACATTAACAGGTATATAATCGACCTGGCTGTCCAAAATATATACAAACACGACTGTAACTATTCCATTCAGTTTACCATTCTTTGTGCAAACACAGAAATTTTTCCATTTATCTTTGTTTGCAAGAGGAAGTCATTATAGCAACTGTCCTACAACCAATTTCGATTATGGTTAATTTTGTTTAAGCCCTTTTACTAACTTATTTAACAGACAATTTTATTTGAACAGTAACAATCCATATATTGCTCTGTACCGTTATGGTCACTAGAGCACATGACAGACTAGCAAAATTGTGGATTGATTAAATATTACTCGAAGTTTCATCCTCCTCCCCATGTATGTATGTACTCGAATCCTGTGGTTAGCTTTTGCTCCGTCTTACTGCGCCCTCAAGCAATTCGACTATAAATT